AAGTAACGGTTAGGCTTTTTTTTTTTTTTTTTTTTGAGGAAGATTAGCCCTGAGCTAACCACTGCCAGTCCTCTTCTTTTTTGCTGAGGAAGCCTAGCCCCGAGCCAACATCTGTGCCCATCTTCCTCCACTTTACATGTGGGACGCCCACCACAGCATGGCATGCCAAGTGGTTCCATGTTCACACCTGGGATCCAAACCGGCGAACCCTGGGCCAATGAGAAGAGGAACGTGCAAACTTAACCGCTGCACCACCGGGCCAGCCCCAGGGTTAGGTTTTTTTTGCTGGGAAAGATTTGCCCTGAGCTAACATCTGTTTCCAATCTCCCCCCCCCCCCACCCCCCGCCGCCCTTTTTTCTTCCCCAAGGCCCCAGTATATAGTTGTACATTCTAGTCGTTAGTTCTTCTAGTTCTGCTATGTGAGCTGCCACCACAGCATGGCTGCTGACAGATGAGTGGTGTGGTTCTGTGCCCGGGAAGCGAACCTGGGCCGCTGCAGTGGAGCACACCAAACTTTAACCACTAAGCCATCAGGGCTGGCTTAGGGTTAGTTTTTAATATTAGTTATTTTGCCATGTAGGGCAAAAAAAAAATCACTTGCCAGACATATTAGCATCTCAACAGCAGAAGAGTGATGTCAACACACTAAATATAAAGAAATCTATTTGGAAAACCTAAATATTCTTTTTCCCTCTCTGTCTGAGCAGCTTCACTTTAAAGAATTTTCTTAAACAAGATACAACTAACTGTTTGCAACAATTTGAAAAATCAAAAGCTGGAATAATACAACTGGGAAAGGTTGAGGCAGTGAGCCCAGCATATGATGTAGATTTCTGTTTTTGTCCTCGGGTCAACTCAATTAGACTCATTTGGGGTATAATTATGACAGTAGCCAGCTTTGCAGCAGCGTACCAGAAGTTGTATTTACGCCATTGTTCTAAACTTAAAAGGCAATTCTGCTGTTCACAGCCATGTTATCTGAAAAACTAATGACAATACAAGTTAATTTACATGCCAACAATCACAAGCCTGGCTGTATTAGTTAGAGTTCTTCAGAGAAACAGAATCAATATGACATATATATGTTTACACACATGAGATTATAGGAATTAGCTCACACGGTTATGCAGGCTGAGAAGTCCCACAACTTGTTGTCTGTAAACTGCAGAACCAGGAAAGTCGGCGGTGTCATTCAGTTTAAGACCAAAGGCTTGAGAATTGGGGGTGTGGGAGGTAGGGTAGGGGGATAAGGTGGTGGTGTCGTAAGTCCTGGTCTGAGTTTGAAAGTCCCAGAACTGGGAGCAACAATGTCTGAGGGAAGATGGATGTCTCAGCTCAAGTGAAGAGAGAAGAAATTTGCCCTTCCTGCATCTTTTTGTTCTATTCAGGCCCTCACAGGATTAAATGACACCCACCCTCATTGGTGAGGGCCATCAGCTTTACTCAGTCTACTGATTCAAATGCTAATCTCTTCTGGAGACATCCTCACAGACAAACCCAGAAGCAATGTTTTACTCGCTATCTGGGCATCCCTCAGCCCAGACAAATTTACACATAAAATTAACCATCACACTGATGTGTACATTTTCTATAGCCATTACTGCTGGGCTTATCTTTGTTTTCTGTTGAAATTATTTAAATGTACATAAACAGAAACTTCTGACAGAAACAGAATATTAAGCAACGGACCTGCAGCTGAGGTCATCCGGGTGGCCAAAATGTACACATCTACTCAGGCATTTTGAGAAGCCTTGCCCTCCTCTCCATACCCTATGTGTGGTCTGGCTACTCCCATACTCTGAGGCTGGCATTTTGTGAATCAAATGTGGTTCAAAGAAAATGACAGGAAGACATGAAGGGCAATTGCGGGAGTGAATAGGTGTTTGTGAGATCATATATTTCTGTGGGTGGACACATTTGTGATTTTAAACATCGTATTCTCATGCACACTGCTCCACTGTCAGCATACTTGCTAACCACACAAAGAGAAACACAATCCTACCCACTTTTAGAGATGCTCTGACAGAGTTGGGCTGTTATAACCAGTAGCTTGGGAACTTTCAGACTCTGGGTGTTTTCTCAGCTTTCACCCATCATTTTGAACTGGGACAAGAGTGGGTTTAAGGGGAAAAACGCTGAACAGCAGCACAGCAACCCCACGCATTGGATTTTGTGGTCTGAGAAGGGCAGCAGCAATTCACACGGTGACCAGCGGGCTCCTTCCTACCTCAGAAGAGCAGAGAGCTGCTTCTGCCGTTTGTGAAATCTAAGCCTGGAGCTGACCCACCACTGGAATGAAAATTCAAACCCACACAGCCTTTTGGTCTTCACGATGATTTTGTGGCTGTCCTTACTGCTTGCAGCAGCAGTAAGAAATCTGTTCCCAGTTAGTAAGCAGAACCTTGACTGATAAGAGGAACAGGAAGAGAATTTCAAAAACCTTACAGGAAAACTTCCTCCTAGAAAGTTAAAATTGGGGGGCTTGCTAAGTGAGAACACTGGGGGTTGGTCTGGGGGGGGGAGTGACACCAGATCACCAGGCTGATGAGTGTGGGGATGTCACAGTCACCTACTGTCCCATCTTTCTCTGTGAAGAGTGGCATTTCAAAGTATTTGGCCACTGAGTCATGAGGAAAATGCTATTTCTCATTTTGGAAAAATACTGTATCTCAGTGGGATATTTCACTGCTATCTGTTCTCCCTAGAAATATGGTGGTGGTGGTGGTGGTGGTGGTGGGGAAACCCAGCCCCTTAGAAATTAAAGCCATATGCATACCATATTTAAAAAAGAAAAAACCCAGACCATTACATTATTGCTGACCATAGGAATTCAGTATTTATAATTTACATTCTTTCCCATACTTTGCTGTTTTTCAGAAGTGAAGAGCAGAGGTTTATGGCCTTGCCAGATCGTAAATCAGATTCCAGAGGGCAGAGGGAGCTGCTCCGGGCAGGAGGAATTGCCTTCTAATAGTTTGCAGAATGCGTCAAAACATAAGGAAAAGAACCCAAATGGAGAGATTCTGCTTCAAGGGAGCCTGAGAGACACCAAAGGCCAACACCAGTTATTCCTTCCACCAAGCACACAACCAGCCGAAATCACACTGGGGCCACCATCTGGAGAGTGGCTTGGAGGTTTGGCCATCCCTAACAAAGTAAGCACCTGAGACCTGAGTCACATGAGTCTCCTTCAATGGGGAGGGGAGACATAGGGGTGGGGACCCCTAAGGACTCTTCACTATCCATTTGCGTGGCTGGCTGGGAGCGAGGTGTGGGGGGATGCATGGAGGCTCTGGTCTGGTAATGGGGCATAAGATGTGTGCACAAGAATCAAGTCAAGGAGCCTGGAGCAGAAGAGCACTGGGCTCTGGGTTGATCTGACGCCCCCTAACGGCTGTGTGCTCCTGCGTCAAGGACTTACCTTCCTGAAGCTTCAAGACCTGGGAAAATAGATTTAACACCACCAAACTCTAAGCCTTCAAAAAGAACACTCATACATACGGTGCTGGACACACGGGGGGGGGGGGGGGGGGGAGTGGGGTCTCAGGGACACCCTTTCCCCTAGAGCTGGAAATGTGGCTCCAGCACTTGACTTCCTAGCGAAGCCAGCGGAGCTCTACTGTGCCTGCTGGGAAGACTCAGGGAGGGAGGGAGTTCAAAGAGCCCCCGGCAGAGGTCTTTCCAAGGTTCCCAGTCCTCCGAATGCCTTTGTGTGGAAGATTTGTTAGCAGTGGCCCTAGCAAACTAACTCATGCCCCTGCTCCTGGTCTGGATTTCATCTACACTAAGAGAAGGTAGAGGATTCTAAACATTTTGAAAGCTGGAGATCTTCTTAAGCCTTTCCCAGGTTGCACCCATAAAATACCTAATCAGTTCGTGATGCATGCAGTTAGATTGACGAGAATGAGCCAGAACAGCACTTTGTCAGGCGACTGGGAATAGTAAGGTTTATAGTCCAGATTTTCCAGTATGGATTGCTACATAAACCCTGCCTGCAACTTGACACCATAATTAAGGCTATTGGGTGTATACTTCAGACATGAAAATACAATATTTTGGTTCTTTAGTCTCAAATTTTTCTATTTTTCTTTTAAAGGCAAACAAACCTTATTTCCTGAGTTTGTAAAGCCACGAGTCCCCTTTACTCAGCATGCAGAGAGGGGACACACCCTACATAAGAATACCAGTATCTGAGGCCCCAGGGAGACTGCGTGGAGGGGCAGGAGGCCAGGCAGCTCTGAGAAAAACCTTCCTGCCACTGTGGGGCATTATCGGTGCACACAGTTTGCAGACCCTTGGAGCATGACGTTTTCAGAGCATTCCAATAAGAAACAAAAAATAATTAACACCCAGGGCACTAGAGGTTCAAGCATGAGCCCAGAATGACTAAGGAGGCGGGATGGTTGGTCGCATCAGCTGTAACAGCAAACCTCTGTGGCAGACTCTATTTTCTGAATGATGTCGCTGTCCTCACTGGGTTGATCGGAAAGGGATGGATTTGCTTACACCCTTCTTGAAGAGGCCAATAATGCTGGGGGCTTAGGAGTCCCTTTTGCTAGGACTGTAGGCAGGCAGCTTGCCTGTGACCAACCCCTCCAGCCAGCCAGGTGTGCTGTACATAGAGATCAGTTTTCAACCAGAGTATCAGGGTGGATAAACCGAGCTTAGCTATACGAGGCCTTGGAGCTACTTGGACCTGTTGCAAAACCCTGACAGTGTTAGATCATGACAACAAATATCTTCTCATAGGACAGGCACTTCAAACCCACCCAAGAAACTGCAAGAAAGGGAACGTGAAAGCAGACAAAGTCACAGGTGAATTTCTGAAATGGATTAAGGGCAGTTTTTAGTAAGCGTCGGAGACAGGGAAGATTCTTACAATTCAGCATTCCCACAAAATAAAATCATGTCTAACTATTTTTTTCTCTTTCTTTGGTAGCCATCAATAAATAATTCCTTTAAATTCACAGAAGATAGAAAAATTAAAAAGCCACAAGTATTTATTGCATCAAAGACAATACCAAAGTTTAATTTAAGAATTTTGCAACCTTTAGCTGTGATAGTTGTTGCATCAGGTTTGGAATAAAATGTGATAAAAGGGAAAGGTTGTAAAAATCTAATTATTATGGGCTAGCAACAAGATCGTGCTGCCCATTGGTCTTAGCCATTACTAATGCTGACCCTTGCAAAGAACCAAATCCCAAATACAACCCTTGCAACGCACACACACATATGAAGGAGGGAGATGCATCTGTAATGAAACACTGCTCAACAGAAGTCTTGGCTCTTACATCTTGATTTCAGTCATATAAATGGGAAATATAGTGAGGATAGCAGCAGGCTACCTGTGGGATTCCTAGTTATGACAATAAGAATGCCGTAAGTGAAGCCCACATGGTCAACTCTGTGGTGGGCCCACGAATGCCACAGCAGTCAGCGAGCATAATCCAAAGGGCACGCAAGTTAAGTCGCCGGTGTTTGAAGTGCTCATTTAGTCTGGTTTCCAATGGTCAATCTTTTTCTTTTCCACCCTGTGTTTAGCCTCCCCTTCTGTGTCCATCCTCTCCCCTGAAAGGGCCTGACTGAGGGCACTATTACGAACAAATAAAACAACCCAAGGGTCCAGCTCCAAAGTGTGATCCTTGACTAGAAGAGCTACCATGCGGAGACGCTGTGCAGCAGCTTCGGAGGGAAGACCAATCGGGCCAAACCTGATGTGTTTGGTAAAGAACTTCATTTTATTTCTCCTGGGTGAGTACCTTACTCACGCACCCACTATAGACGCAGTCCTAGAGAAAATAAGACTGGCATTTATAGGATGTCTTTCATCATCGAAACGCTGAATGGGTCAATGAAACGTCCTAGCATTGCTGTGGGAGCAGTTTGGGCAAGGCTTTTACAAATGGTGAAAACAGACACAAAGAACAGCAGGGAAAGGCCAAGAATGACAAAAAGGGAAAAATATCTAACACTCACTGCAATGCTACTTAGGAGAAAGATACATAAAACATTCTTTGCGCATTACATCCAAAATAATGGTGTCTTTTAAGAGGGCAGTTTGTAAATGGTGAATGTGACATAATTTGCATTTGAATCATTTCCGATATGAAATGATGACTCTGAAACATGTATTCTATTTCCATCAATGTGAGGTCCATTTCCATAGAAACGGGTGGAAAAAGTAGGCCAAACCCAGCAATATGGTTTCTAGGAGGAACAGCAGCTGTGGTTCTGGCCAGTCATGCAAAGCACTGGGTTTGAAACCACTGCAGTCAAGAGCTCTTACTGAAAGGGAACAAAAAGTTTACACTCAAAGAAAGGCCAAGGAAAGCGTCTGAGGACTTTCCTGGCTGTTTCAGACAAAGCCACGAGGAAAAATTACCTCATGTGCACTTTGCTTTCGCATATCCCACAGGAAAGTCAAAGTCACCACATCCTAAAAACAGGTGCCTCCCTCTCCGCCGGCCTTGGAGAGAGGAAATACGCTCCATCAGTCCGGCTGCGCTATCAACCGGAGGAGTGTTAAAGTGGCAGGCCAACTCTCCTGGAAAATGAACTCGAAAATACTCAGTGACACGGCCCAGGCATGAGGACAGAGAGTAGGGGTATACGATATATATGACATACAGGAGCACTCAGTGCTCAGGAAAGCAAGATGCAGGGACAAACAAAATAAACTCACCTACTTTCAAACTAAAATAATGTTTACATTGTACCTATGTTTCAAAAGGCCTCTGATGGGTTATACAAGTGCAAGGGGGTTTATGAAACAAGCCTGCTTGCCTCTCTTCCCTGGGAAGGATGGGGCTGCTGTCGGGACTGGGACCCTCACAGCTGACTCCCTCAGCCATGGTGCCGGCCGAGTGCCTGCTGACGCCTCTCCGCTAGCAACGTGTCCGGCTGCTGGAGCAGGTCTGCATGAGGCTCTCAACCAAGTGGTCACTAGAGGCCCAGAGCACAGGACGTGACCCCGGCTTGCATGATTCATTCAACACCTTCACCCCGGAATTCTTTTGCAGAAAAAGAAAAACATGACACTTCTATGGTTAAAGATTTCCTTAAAGGGGGAAAAGACATGGACATTTCTGTGCTCTGTGAAATGAGGGAACAAAAGGATTGCTTTTAGCAAGTTTACATCTATAAGCCAATTAGCTGGGTACCTGCCACTTGTTAGAGAAAAAAATCCAACTTGGTAGATGTAACCATTAACATAGTAAAGAAAACAATGACTATCTTGTTCATTTCTTATTGATCACTTGGGAGGTCAGGAAACAGGACTATGTGTGGGTAAGCCCTCCAAAATACATTTTTTCTTCTCACTATAAAACACATACACATTCAGATTATCCTAAAGTCACCTGAAAAATACAGTGCTTGCCTAAGAGCAGTGGAAAATACCATAAAGATGCAGAGAAATGACCATTTGATGGAGACAGATCTTTGATGGGCTTTAATGTGAATTGTTTTATTTAAAACAGGGATTCATCAGAGGTGGTGAACTATCAGGTAAATGTTCTAGAGCATGGCACGATGAAAGGTAATACTCACCAGCACCTCACATGGGACTAAAAGACATGTCAGCAACACACCATGGAGGAACCCAAACCAACTATAAAAGGCACCTGGCTGGAGGGAGAGGCCACGGTGGGCACTGCCTCTCGAACAGGCTGACTTGTGTGCACTGTGGATAAGTCTGGACAAATCACATTTGTAATGGAACAAAAATGGTTCTGATCTGAAGCCTAGGATCCTATGCAGGTAGCTAGCCTTTCCTGGGACAGGTTTACCCCCGCCGTATGGTGTAAGGTCCTAAAACGGGATGAGGTTGCTAAATGGTAACACAAAAACTCTCCCCTTTGTTTCTCTAGAAGAGCGGAGAGGCCTCCTCCAGTTCAATTTCAGCAGTGGCATCTGAAGGCTTTTATGCGTCCTAACTTAAAAACAAATAACAACGAAATAAAAGACAGAAAAGTGGCCTAAACTTAAACCAATCACATGGAAAGGCAGAGTCATAAAAATGAGAACTGGTGATCAGTCCACTACTGTATAGTCAATGCCCCTTCTGAATGAAGATGTTTAATCTGCGTCCATACTACACACAAGCACAAAGCTGCTCTTGGCAACTCTGAGTACATAGCTACCTTTTCCTTCGAACACACTGAACTGCTACCAGTGACCGCATGCCAAGTGCTGAAGTTAGAAGAGACCCCAAACTGGCAAAGGACCCCAGGCAATGATCGGCCCGATGAGGCTGGGTCTGTTGGAAACAAGACTTACACTCTCAAATAATGGCCCCAGAGTCCCCACTCCTCTACCTATTTGCATGTGTTTTGACCTCCTAACAGGGAGGTCCAAACGATTCCGTTTCCCTCTCAGTTCTAGGCACTCTCTGGAACATCTTTAATTAACCAGGGTCTTTCATTTCTTTCCAACTCCATTGGTGACTTTTGACTTGGAATGTCGATTCCTTCTTCTGGAAGAATGGCTTTCGTTGTTGCCTGGATGCTTGGGTGGGCTGTCTTCAGAACCTGGCCAAAGGAATCAGAACACATGGTCACTTTGGGCTACGGGGTCCTGGGCTCACTCCTGTGATTTGTGGCTCTCCCTGGCCAGGCTGTCTTAGGCCTGCCTGCAAAGTGCAGGCTCTTCCACTGATCCTTGCACTCCATCTAGTGGCCTTATTCATAAATTAAGGCAAGGCGCAGAAACAGCACTGAGCGAGTACAGCTGGTGCCTGGGTATGCAAGGGGACAGCCCCACAGAGTCTAGGGGGTTCCTGCACAATTTTTACACTCATGCTGTGTAGGGTGGGTCATGGTCCTGGTAACAGGGACTGAAAGTGAGAGTACAAATGAAATCAAAGCATCAAGGAGAAATAATGAAAACTTATACTACACGGGTGCCCATCCTGCCCTTGCAGCCAAAGGATGCCTCACCTAGTTTTTCACAACAGGACCTGTTACGTGTCAGAGTTTCTAATCACTAAATTGGAAAGAATTCTTCGCTTTATAAAATTAAAGATATTATATGCCCTCTCTTGTTTGATCTGGGGGCCACCTTTAGAAATCAGGCCCCTGCTGCTCATGATAGACAGCCCCAGAGCCACACACTTCAGTGTGCCACACGCCCCAAATCTCACATTCTACAGGGACAGCATCATTTATCACACTCTATTATTTGCTTGGGAGCTCAGAGAAAGACTTCCACATTGGTTGCATGCTCAGCACTCAGCAGGCATCAGCCTGGTGGGGGGTGGAGCCAGGGGAGGTGGGGGCGGGGGCATTCCAGGCAGAGGTGTATAGGCCAGGGAGGTCAGCTAAGCTTCCTGGCACTGGGTTGGCTCTCTCCTCAGACTGAGCACGTGGCCAGCTCCTGGCCTAGCAGTCAAGCTAAAAGGTTCTCTGCCCTAGGGCTCAGATCCAGCCCCAAAGGAAATCTTTGAAGACAGCCATTAAAAAAAGTTCTGAGTTTTTGTCTCCATGAAGTGGCATTTGGCTTAGTCCAAGAGACTTTTACCACTCTGAAGATGTTTTTTCTTTTTTCTACTATTCTGTCTACTTTTCATTAAAATATACCTCTACTGCTGCTTGCTTCTTTTAGTCTTTTCAATGGAGAAGTGCGGGGAAGTGCCAAGGACGATCTATAAGGGGATGGATCTGCATAAGGGAGCTCTGGGGAACCGCTCTGCCCTCGTCTATCAGCATTCCAAAACGGGTTGCTGATCAACTCGATTCTGGAGAAGCCATCTCAAAAAGGGTGACTGGCACCAGTAGAGTGTATGCTATGTTTTCCCCAGGGAGGGCTCTGAAAAGCTTGACCCCAAAAGAACTTGGGAGCAACTGTGTCAGTATTGCGTTCCTCTCTAGCCCTCTTTCTCCGAGCAATTCTGTGAGCCTACATTCACAGCCTCCGGCGTTCATAATTCCCTCCCTTCAGTTAAGCCTTCCAAGTCAGCTCATAACAATTAACAAGGAATTACATCCAGTGGAGCCTCCTCAGTGTCATTATTCTACAAGCCCAATTCTTTAAAATAACGAGGTGGCCCCAAATCTTTCCAAAATTCTCCTTGGAGAGAGATCACTGGGAGATTCCTTACTACTACGGAAATCCCACTTATACTGGTCTGCCTCTTAAAGAAACATGATTAAATCGATCCACCTCTTTTGAAAGGCTTCTCCTCCTGGCACACAATTCTTCCCAACCCTCTCCACTCAAGATGAAAGCGAAGAGGAAGAACATTCCCATCAAGGTGCTTGAGACGGTGCAGGCCTCATTATGTATTCCTGCCTCAGAAATGGCAGCGCTACACAGAGCCTCTTCTTAGGAGGCAAGTTTCTTGGGCAGATCCTGCAAGTACTTTGCATGTTTCATTAATAATTTAACAGACAACATGCAACGAGCAGGTTTGAGACCAACCCTTCAGAGTATACATTTATCAACATTCAGAGGATAAATACTGATTCTAAATCTCCTTACTGGGCCTTGGGAGGGAGAAGACCCAGTAAAGTTTTAAACATTGAGCAAGAAGGAGATACCTTTGGTGCCTTTCCCGTGAGGCCAGGAGATGTCTGGACTGTAGGTGCCGTCTTCACACTCTGAGTAGGTCTAGGGAGAGAGGCAGGCTTAGCGACGGGATTTCAAGTGCTGCCTGGGAGGAAGGGGGGCAGGCAAAAATGGGAGGATGCTCCGTCCCTGCCTCTCTGGGGCTGGGGGTCACCATTAGCAAGTGACAGAACCTCCTCATGCTTATGTTTCTCAGCTGTAAAACCAAAGCTATCTCCCAGGTGATGCAGAATAAATCTTCTAGAAAGTGCCTTTAGTTCCTTAGACTACAGGTATGAATAAAGGACAAAAGGTGTTATTTTTACTTAAAAAAATACTACAGTTGACAAGACTTCTATTGCATTTTAAGCCCCCTCACATCTGTTCTCAACACCAATCCTTGTATCTACTATGAGGTGGGCAGGGCAGGCGCTGTACCGTGAAGCGATAGAGGCCCAGGCTGGGTCACACAGAGGCCTGCCGGAGGTGGAAGGGCTGGGAATAAAACCCAGCCTTCCAAAAACCGGTCCAGGGCTCGCCTCACAATTTTGCTTTTTTTAAACAAAGAATTAAGTTTTAAACCCCTTACAAAAGGAAGATAAAATATGAACCTGTTGAACAGGGCTGTCACAAGCATGGACAGCAACTGACGGAATGAATTCTGAACTGGTTCAGTGTCTAAGGTGGTGAGACCGAAGCCCGGCTCTCACAGGGCCAAATGCTCACGTGACTATGCTCTGGGCTAAAGCTCCAAGCAGGATGTGATTATTTTGAATAAAGACCATCCCTGCCTTTCCTTCAATACCTTTTCTCGGTGACCATAGTGCTCTGCGTACCAAACCATGCCATACAGACACAGGAAGGTGGTGAAAGCCTGGAAGAGAAAAACAAGCATGAAACCATTTTATAAATGAGGTTGCACAAAAAAATTCCATTTCCCAGAACTTCAAGGTTTCAATGGGAATTTATACAAGATGGCTTGATGTGTTTCTGTCATCTCTCCTAGGACGCCAGCTACAAAATGGGTGGACGTGGCAGTGATGGACCCCAGGAGATGAGTTGGGGGAACAATCCCCAAAGCTTCTGACAAGAAGAGCTATGATGAGATCACAGTTCCTACTTGTGACTCCACCAGCAGAGCGCAAGGCCATTTTGGGATGTGGGATAAGGGGGTGCATTTTCTGGACAGCTCTGCAGGTGCTGCTTCAGAGGACACGTAGGACTCTAGCCTGTAGTTCTGATTTTCATGGCCTGTCCTCTCCACCCTGCCCCATCACTGGAGAGAGTTATAAGGTCTCAGTTGGTCAGCTTCTGTGGGGAAGAGGATTTCTGAATGGGAAAGAAGTTTAACTCAGCCTGGGGTCCCAGTAGTGCTGGAGGCATCTGGGACAGACCACCGCTGAGCAGAGGCAGAGCCCAGCAGGACACTGTGCCCCGGTTTGGCACTGCCGTACAGTCCTGGTGGTCCCAAGCTCACCCCATCTTGGTTCTTCTGTCTTCCTTGTTTAAGTACACAGGAAAATAAAGAGAAAATAAAAACACCTTGTAAGCCCCTGAGTGAAATGAGAAGGGCATGGCCCAAGGGGACTCAGCATTCCCCCCAATCCCTAAATTATACTGGAATTTAAGGGAAGAATAGCATCTACAAGAATCCAAAGCCTAAAAATGTGTCAAAAAACTGAAAGTCAGGGTAAAGTTCCTGGCTGCCTAGATGAATACCAAAGGAGAGTGAGAGCGTGTGAGTCAGGAGAGCGAGGACAGATGACTCTTGGCCAGGCCCTTCAGCCAGGCCTCCCCTTCCTGACTGTAAGTGAATCAACCAAACCCAACAAACTGACCGCCTGTTCCACCAGTAGTTCTGCAGAATGCCTTGCTCTAGGAACCGACTGACACTCAACCATCCTTGCTGTCTAGACTCCATCTCTTCCACTGAACTTCCTGTTGGGGACCCAGGTTGGGGATGGCCCAACTGTGGGTACAGTTGTGAAATCATGGTGAAATCTTCTCTTTTTGAGGATCAGAGAGGTGAAGGGCCTTCTCAAAGACAAAAAGCTAATGTGTGGCGAAACTGAAGCGAGAACACAGGTCTCCTAATATCCCTTGACGGGTATCAAGTAAATATTGATTTTATGTCTGTATGTCTTTCTATCTCTGTCCACTTATCTATCCCTGGAGAAAGAAAAGCATCATGGGAAGAGCCAATATCAGCAGCATCCGCTCTGCACGGCCCGCAGTCTGGAGGGTGGAGCAAACACTGCAGGGAAAGCAGGGGCCGTGGTCTCCTCCCCACAGCTTGTAGACTAGCTCTGGCCCAGTTCCTTTAAGTTAACAATATGTACTAAGTGTCTGCTGCATCATCTTAAGTGTCAAAAAAGACAGGAGTCCGAGCGTTCCAGCTGGCCTTCTCCTTCCACACCAGTGAAGTGAACACAGCAGCAGGGTGGAGAGATAACACGACACACAAGAAGACCCACTAGCTCATTTTATACTAAACCCATACACAAACTGGCACACAGATTAGAGATTTAAAGAAAAAGCAGCTCATACCCGCCCATCAAAAAATTAGTCAATAAATGAATATATTAAAATTACTAGAGTACTTGCTCAGATTTCCAACACATACCACCATTAAAGGTACCATTTTCACAGCATGAAAAGAGTGGAAACGACTAGAGGATTTGCAGTGTGTAAGCCTATATGTATGCATTAGGTCCTTTACAGAGAGCAAATCAGGCCATCCTCGGTTTCACACGGAGGACAAGGAGGATGGTTCCACCTCCCCAGACCAATGAGCAGCTGTGCAGGGGGGTGGGGAGGCTGGCCTGAGAAGGGTCACTCCACTAGACCAAGGGAGCAGCGAGGGCGGGGCTGGCCGTCATCGCGAATTCTGAATTCTGTCCACCAGAGGGAAGGCGTGAGGGGTGCCTCTTCTTCCTTCCCCAGCACCCGACTGGGAGAGCAGGCGGGGCAGCTTGGGGCTGCTCACCCACAGACAGCTGGGCCCACAGCTCTGCAGCCCGTGCGCAAACATGGGCAGGTGGTGAGTGACAGGCGCTTATCATCACAATCGCCACACAAAGGGCCGGCATGGTTGCCAAATTTACCACTTCACCTGGGTACAAGAGGCCCATTTTAGACTTGTCCTAGGAGACAAAAGCTTGTAATTTATGGGTTTGCAATTACACCTGTGGAAATCTAGGCACCTACCCACTTAAAATGTCAAGGCCCAGATTTAAAATAGCAATTGTACAGATTTTGTTTAAAGAAAAGAAAGAAAAAAAAGAGAGAAGAAAAATGCGTGGGATGCGAGCCAAGGCTGGACACAAGCAGGGGTGTGGCAGCAATGTGCACAGCTGAGCTCCTTGTTATGGCAATGGGCATTCAAATTTCCCAGGACTGATCACACAACTGCTGCTGGAGGAGCTTAGCAACCGGCATACGAGATCTACGCTTCGCATTAATCTCAAGTTCTGTGTATGTGCTCTTAGCAGGCAAGGGGAATAATTAGGGGTTTTGTTTCTCTGAGTAGTGTGGGAGGCACGGCATAACTTAACCATCTCTTAGTGAAAAATGTTTGCCTCACTCCTGAGTTTGAGATCAATTTTGATCTTTAATAAAGGGCATGAATATGAACAAGCTCCAGGACCTTGTTTCCATCCTTCTTCTTTAACTGGTAAATGAGCAAGGCAGTGGGGACCCTAATCATCCCAACCAAGGGCCTCTTTTGTGGCCAGGTCCCCCTACAATGGTGTTCATCACTAATAACACTAATTGGGGGATCTGCTTGTCTTCAAAGTCCTGTTGTCCTGTGGCTGTTTCTCGGCCTGGCCTCTAAATGTGGTCGCTCCACAGAATTCCACTCTCAGCCAGCTTCTCTTTCCACGCTATGTCCCCAGACAACTCTTACCTAATCCAATGGCTTCAACCGTGCCCTACACACAGATGGCTCCCAATTCTTTCCTCTCCACTGCCGACTGAGTCTTTGCAATGTTACTGCACAGACTAGAATTTTCCATGATACAGAACACCTTCACCTACAAGTTCCAGCAGTTGGTCAAACCCCAATGCCCCAAACCAAATGCATCTCCTTTCAATGGGGTTCTCTGATGTCCCTCAATATCTTATTAGCATCGACAGCCACCCCAGTGGCACAGATAAGCCCTGGAGTCTCCCTCAAGTCCCTTCCCAGCTATCACAATGGGATGGCATCCTGCTGAGTTGAGCCCTTGAACAGCTCTCGATCCAGCCCTTTCTTTGCCACTGCCTTGGGCCTCAGTCATTTCTCACGGAGAACTCTGCGACACCCTCAGTCTGCACCCCACCTCCAATCCCTCTTCCACTCTAGACACTCCCACCCTCCACAGTTTCTCGGTGCGATGTTGTCTACCCACTGAAAAATCTTCTTTGGGTCTCCAACTACAAACACACGCAGTCCTTCCTAGGCAGACATGCTCTATCCTGTCCACCTCTAACTGGCTTTCCTCAAGCTCGCTCCCAAAACAGGTCGCCATCTTCTGAGACACTGGGCCACTGGCACAGCTTCACATCACTGTACGTGCTTGTCTCTCAACCTCCCTGTACTCTGCCTGGTCTCTGTCTCTCGAACTCATTCCTTTATTCTCCATGCATTTGCCTAGGGTTTCCTATGCCTCAGGCACTGTGCTAGAGTCAGTGGGGATAAAAACATAATGAAAACTTATTCTTGTCAGCAAGAAGTGCAATGTTGAGGAGACAGATTTAACACTACAAATTACATTACAGTGGGGTTAGAACTCATAGAAATGTGCACAAAGTGCGACTGGTCCCCTGAGGAGTGAGTTACCTAGTCTGCCCCGCAGGTCAGGCATATTTCATGGAGGGCATGAATTTAAGTTTGGTCTTGGCATAAGATTCACTAGGAGAGAGAGGGCAGGGAAGGGCATTCAGACCAGGCAAAGGAAGCCCCATGGGCGCAGGCAACAGAAGTCTGGAAGGGTGATTAGTCGAGGTAACTAAGAGTAGTTTGCACAACCCTAGTATAGAGCACACATGGGTGGGTTTGATGACTGGTCCAGATGATAACAGTCCTAAACACACGAGCAAGATTTCATATTTCAGCCGGTAGGTTTTGTAGAGGGATCCTTCTTCCTTCTTGATGTTTCTTTCTACACACAGGGAGCTTTCCTGGTATAACTCTCCCGCTTCTCTTCACCCCTCACTCACTCTGCCTTAACTGACGAATCCGAGATAAGGAGGCTGGCACTTCCTGTCTTTTCCCTCGGTGCTAGGCCAACAGCACAATGTGGGGAGGCCTGCTTCTGGGGGCTGGAGAGCAAGCATGTCTAATTCTGGGGTTCACTATTCAGAAGCCCCTTTTTGCCACGCATCTAAAGCTGCTATTTAAAAATGTGGATTCTCAGTAATAAAGATGCTATTCTGATCTCCACATGCTTCCTCTCCCTGCCTCTCTCTTAATTATTCTGAACTTGGGTGGGGAAAAATGTTGTGCTACTGGGCACTCTCAAGCCCCCAACAATAGGGAATGATTCTCAGCAGGAGAAAGAGATTCAGATCTGACTTCTGGAAGATCACTTTGGCAGCAGTGTAGAGAATGGATCTTAAGGGCAGACTGGAGAGAAAATGGGCGTCTAGACAGCTGCAGAGGCAGTGGGAATGGAAAGGGGGGATGGAGTTGGGCTATGTGGTTGAATGAATCGAATCCAATGACCTGCTGATTTGAAGAGTGACAGAGGGGAGGAAGCACCCTCCTAGGTTTTTAGCTGGGGCACCTGAGGGATGGGAGAGCTGTTCACTGTGATCCTTTAAAATCCTGCTCACATGTCACCTCTAGGGAGCCTTCACCCCAGCTCGCCTGGTCTCTCTCAAGTGCTCCTTTAGCTCTATGCACACACATCTTTTGTACGATGGCTCACATATTAACATAAGTAGTCTGCATTTGAAATTCCCATGTGGACTTAGAGATCCTCAGAGGGGGACACCCTTGGAGGGGGAGCAGGAACTCTTTAGCCAGACTATTTGGGTTTGAACCCTGGCTCTGCAACTTACTGTGTGTATGAACTTGGGCAAGTTAGTGAACCTCTCTGTGCCTTTATTTTTTTTATCCATAAAAAAGGTATAATAAAGTACCTCCCTTCAAAGTGTAAAGATGAAATATGTGATTCATGAGACGTGTTTAGAACAGTGTCTGGCACATGGTAAGCATTAATAAATTTTATCACTGTCTATCCGTGTGGGTCCAGCATCAGGCACAGCTCTGATGAGCACTCGGCAAATGTTTTGTGAATGAATGAACGACTTAAAGAGACCATGCTAAGTGAAGGAGAGCTTGATGGGAGCCCAAGAAATGGTTCATAACCTTAATAAAGTTAACCACACAGACACTGAGGCAAATGAAAAATCCCCAACATTAGGCGGCATGTGCTAAGTACCAAATCAATAAAACAGAGAGAAAGTCTCTAAAACTTAAAGAGAGACTGGAGGGGTCCTTGCAAGTTTGGGTGACCAGAGAGGGCTTCTTGGACGCAGCCTTAGGAAGACCTTTCTGGCCGCGGATGCCCGGGGGAAGCTGTGCACAGTGTGCTGGGAGGCCTGCGGGGGGCTGTCGTGAGAAGGGCATCTGCCCTGGTCCCCGGAGTCCCACCTGCCTCCAGCTCTCTGTGGTCCATGGCTCCTGGTACCAGGTGAGGGCAGCACCCACCTCTGCCCAGCACAGTAGTCACGCTACAATTCACAGACCTACGGCACACAAGCCAGAGAGAAATCTGAGAAGCACAGGTGAAAATCTCCAGGCGCATCTGATACACCCCCTTAACCAATCCTTACATCTTATCTCACTGGGACCGAAAAAATACATTCCAGCATTAAGTCTGGAGTTTAAGTACAAAGGAGATCATTAGTCCCTTCTATTGTTCAAGATGAAACAGGACAGAAGAGGCTCAAGGTGCCCTGGCATGGTTAGGAATTCTAACAAGTGACCCTAAAAATAGACACTGTGAAAGGCAATAAGAAACACTTAAAAAATACAAAGTTTAGTCTTGCCAAAAGAAAAAAAATATTAGACCTGAATCTGATTAAGCCTTTAGATCCAGATACCAATTTACAGAAAATACAGAAGACAGAGAGAGCTGCTAAATCCCAGCACAGGGTGAGATCAGCAAAACACAGACTGTGGGGACATCTATGTGACAGAAGAGCTGGTTTCCCCAACAGATAAATCACAAAGGAGAGAGCGCGGGGGATGAGGGAAAACCAGAGAATAAAAGAGACTTAAAAGGCAAGCCAACAAGAGCAATAGTGCACGTTGAGTCAAAGAAACGGCTAAAAAGTCTAAAACTTAAGAAAGTATTAGTAAGTTCAACATTGATTAGATACTTGATGGTCTTAAGGAATTATTGTTCAATCTTTTTCAGATGTGATAATGGTACAGTGGTTGCATTAAATAAAAAAGCATTCTTGGGGCTGGCCCCGTGGCCGAGTGGTTAAGTTCGCGTGCTCCGCTGCAGGCGGCCCAGTGTTTCGTTGGTTCGAATCCTGGGCGCGGACATGGCACTGCTCGTCAGACCACGCTGAGGCAGCATCCCACATGCCACAACCAGAAGGACCCACAACGAAGAATAGACAACTATGTACTGGGGGGCTTTGGGGAGAAAAAGGAAAAAATAAAATCTTTAAAAAAAAAAAAAAAAAAAGCATTCTTATCTTCTTTTACAGATACATCCTGAAATATTAAAGGTGGCTGCTTCAAAATAATTCAAGGTGGAGACAGTGAGTAGGGAATATAGAGAAAGAAGACTGGCTGTGAGTTGATAATTGTTGACACTGGATAATGAGTACATGAGGGGTCATCTATTCCATTTACCTCCAAATATGTCCAAAATTTTCTGTAATTATAAAGAAAGCTCAAGTTAATTTTGTGGACTCAAGCTTAAATGTAAAAGAAAACTTTTCTCCAAAGGAATAATACAATTAAATCAAGAAGGGCCTTCACAGAATGTTCAAGCTGGGTAAGATCTTACTTCATTTCAAAGATGAGGGAAAAGTCCCAGGACCATGGAGCTGGAGGCTCCGGGCTCTTCCCTTCAGAGAGGAAGCTCGTCCTACACATGCTGGCTCTGTAGAGCCAGCCCTCAGGGCAGAAACTGCATGTTCTGATTACTTTCAAAAACATCTTATTTGGCCTATAAACTATGGTCCGTCATTTTGTACATAATTCCATGTACAGTAATTTGTATGTTACAGGGCACTGTAATTGTCCTTGTCCCTTCATGGCAGGCTTGAAATTTTTGGCACATGTGGACCAATTCCCATAAGTGAAATAAACGCACGCATGGTGCACCTGCTGAGGTCATTTGACCAGAATGTGCCAAGGTGACCCACTTTGTAAGCCGTGTGGTCCTATGTGTTTATTCTTGAACTTCGGACAGGTGGCCAAGCTCTGGCTATTACAAGTAGAACATCCTGTCTATGAATTCTAATGAATCTTTGGGCACAAGAGAGTTTTTTTTTTTTTTTCTTAAGAGACACCATGGGAGTTTAGCTAAAATTTTCGGGTAATAAAGTAATGACTTACCACACAAAGAAGCCAAAGCACGACATAGAGTATTTGGGTCTTAGAGAAGAGATCTTGTCCAAATTTTATGCAAACAATAGCTTCCAGGAAACCAATGACCCTAGTTAGACAGAACAAGAGGTTAAATACTAATTCATCTTTTCAGAGCATAAATTACCAGAAATACGCATTATTCCACCAAAAAGTTCAACTGGTCATAAGATTTCTGCCCCAAACACTGGCAGCAGGTCCCACACCAAATGACATTGTTCTAGCCTACTGCATTTCTTCAGAAATAATATATATACTTTTTAGATTTAACAGAAAGTTAATTTTATTGTTACTCCTCTTTTCTTTTTTTTGAGACTTTATTTTTTTAGGTAGTTTTAGGTTCACAGTAAAATCGAGGGGAAGGTACAGGGTTCCCATATACCCCTCTGCTGTCACCCATGCACAGCCTCCCCGGTTATCAACACCCCCACCAGAGTGATACATTTGTTACAACTGATGAACCTACATTGACACATCATTGTCAAAGTCCATAGTTTACATTAGGCTTCCCTCTTGGTGATGTACATTCTGTGGGTTTGGACAAATGCATAATGACACGTATCCACCATTACAGAATCATACAGAGTAGTTTCACTGCCCTAAAAATCCTCTGTGCTCTGCCCATTCATCCTTCTACCCATCCCCAGAAATAATAAAATATTTCTTACTTCTTCCTTCCTCCCAGACCAAAAATCTCAACTCATACATTTTAATTGCTGGAGGCACCTGGTATCACCTAACTGAGAGCCTGTTACCACCGGGGTGGACAGTCACCACCTCTGTTGGAACCCTCTCAGGGACAGGGAACCTATGACCTTTGGAGGCAGCTTATTCTGGAGTTCAATCTCTTTAGCTATTGGGAAGTTTGTCCCTTTCTCAGGCTGGTGGCTGCCTCCTTCTACCCACGGGTCCTAACTGCGCCCTCTGCAGTCCTACAGGGTGACTTGAAGCCTTCCAAGTGAGTCCCGAAGGCAGCAATCAATTCCCTCCCGGCCATCTAAGAATTTCCAGATTTAATATTCCCCGTCTTTGCTGACTATATAAACCCTTTATTCTTTCTTGATCTGTAAGCAATTTTGCTAAATACAAAATGTTAAAAAAAACCTGTTTTTTACTCTTTAATTAAAACATCAAAGAAAAAAAGCAACTCCTGTATTCTAAATCTTCATTTATGAATATAATAATCAGACCTTTACTAAGGTTCAGAGCTTGAAAGTAAGAGTGGATGAGGTGAAGGTGACATGGCTGGTCATGTGACCCCAAAGACTGCCTAAGAAAACCAATTTCAGACAACTCCACTTCAGGTGTTCCTTGCTTGAGATGGAATCTGGACAATCAGGGATTGGTGTAGTTGCACAGGTATTCTCTAAAAAGGGGAGAAGGGGTTCAGAAGGCCCTGGGTCCTCCTACCCACTGGCAGACACAAAGGTCACTGCCATCATCAAATGTATGGATGGCTCTAAACAACTGAACGCATGGAATCAGAACCACTTCAGCAAAGTAGAAAATCTCCTTAATGGATCTTAGAGAGTTTGGAGCTGTCTTTCCCCCTAGCCCCAACCAAACAAGGTGTAGGGGTGGTTGGCTTGAATCTTTAAAGACCACCCCCACCCCAAGACACAGTATGGTAGGTGCGAGAAAGCATCATTTTAGTTGAGATACGCAGGACGCTTTTAAGTGTAGGGCTGAGTGTCACTGTCATCCTGAAGTCTAGACTGTGGGCTGATGCTAGACGGCAGCTAACTTTGGTCACTTCCAGGCTGCACAGTGAGGGGAAGGGTGCCTGGATGTGCACAGAAAAAAGATATTTAACCTTTGTCTGGGACTTCTTGAGGAACTACAACGGAAAGTGTTAAGCCCAGGAAACAAGTATGCCGACTTTCCCTTATGCCAGACAGAACACTTGGTGTTTATTACAAGACATTTCTGTATATTCAACTCAGTTGAGTCACCTTTCAAAAGCACGGTGACCAGCAGACGAGAACTGTCTTTTTCAAACTTTTGTGGTCTGAGACCCTTGGCAAGAAACACACACACACACACACACACACACACACACACAACTCAAACAAAAGTTTCACAAAACAATTTGTGCCTTTACTTTGACATTTTTCTATCCTGTTTCATTTTAAGAAAATGCTGGTCAGATCCACTCAATTGACTTCATAATTGCCTGAAGTTTGTTCTAAAGACAAGAGCTTTCCAGTCAGCAACTTTAGGGTATGATTCTTTCCCACGTGCTGATGAACTTAGCTAAGCCGTTGTCCATGCATGTGGCCTTCTCAAAAAAAGGGGATCTTTGAGTAAAGATTAGGGGAAGGGGGAAGTTCGGGAAAGGGGGAGAGTTGAGTCACAGAGTAACATGAGTCTGGAGGGCCACCCTAGGGCTTGGCTTTTAGTCTGAGGGAGATGGAAGCCCCTGGAGGGTTTGGAGCAAAGGGTTTCACATTTAACATGATCATCTGGTGGCTGAAGGCTGAACCAAGAATGATGTATGGAGGCAAGAGCAGAAGCAGGGAGGTTTCTAATGCAGGGAGAGGACCAGGGGAGTAGCTGTGGAGATGTGAGAAGTGGTGGGAACTGGGAGACAGTAAATCCAACAATCATGTGGACCCTTTACCACCAGCCATTGCCTCCACCATGATCCCCGGCCCCCTAAGCTGAGGGAGTCCTAATAATAACATCCTTCTGCAAGGTTAACATTACTTTTCAACAAGACTCAAATGGCTGCCAGTTTAGTACTGAGGACAAGGCTTGGGCACAGTGGGAGCCCATTTTATTAAGCCTGTCAGCTGAGACGGCACAACCTCCTCACCACCGGGGGGGCCTCCCTCTGCAACAGCTCCCTGAACTCAGGGCAAATTTAAATCTCTCTGATCTTCACCAGGCTGGGTTAGGTGGCCAAAGTGTGGTTTGACGAAATTCAGCCGGGGCTCCTACTCCCTTTGATGCCTATGGCCATCCTCATCTTGAAGTAGCAAAGTTAGAAGGCAAATAAACATTTCAGCTCCCTGAAGTGATTCTGCCTGGGACGAGGCCTGCTCTTTCCAGACAGGGGTAGAAATAAAGATGATGTTAATGTAGAGGCCAGGGTAAGGAGTTCCTCAGTGAATGGAACAAGAATGTAAGCAGGGTTGTTATAGAAACGTGGGGACGTAAGCTTTGGGCTCAGTGTGTGTAAGCTGGGGGTACAAGCCCACCCTGAGAAGCAGAGGAAGTTTTCAGTTTGCCAACAACACCTGCTCGTGGATTCCAAGGATGCCACAGGCTGCCTGCATCCCACAGATACTACCCCATAGCTGCAAAAGAATGCACTACTGCATAAGAATGCACTACTACAAAAGAACGTGCCACTGAACACTACTGCACTACTGCACATGAGCACACTACTGCACAAGAATGCACTACTACATAAGAATGCACTACTACACAAGAATGTGCCACTGAACACAAATACACTACTGCACAAGAATGCACCACTGAGCACCACTGAACACGAATGCACTACTGCACAAGAATGCACTACTGAACACAAACGTGCTACTGCACAAGAATGCTCAGGGGTGGTGAGCCACTCTTCAGCCAGTCAAGAGCTGATCCTCCAACAGTGGAAACCAGACCTGTATAATGTGACACAACTATTAGACAGTCACATGGGTAGCCAGGAAGTGTTCTGGAGGTTCAGGAGTGAGGTTTCAGTTCTGATTAGCGTGAGCAAAGGCACCTTTTTGGAGGAAGTGATAGCTGAGCTGGGCCTTACCAGATAGAAAAAAACATCAACTATGCTCCATGGAACTCTCTGACTTCCCAAGAACCCCAGGGACAGGGTAGGGAGGTGAGAAGAGGGACAAAGGGGTCCAGCGTGGCACACTCAGAACAGTTCTGCTCACTTGTTTTGCTGTATATTAGGGTTTGGGGTAAGATGTCACTTGAGGAAAGGGATTCAGCTGCTAAAAAAAGTTTCCTAACTCCTGCCAGAGGTTGTGAGCAAGGGAGCAAGGAGTGGCAGAGAGTAAAGGATGAACAATGCTGAGGAGGACAGGATGAAGGGTAGGATTCTGGAAAAGGGAAACAGGCTTGTGAAGCTACCCTAGTAGTGTGAGCACTGAGGGCCTGAAACAGAAACGTGTGAGGACCAGGAGGGAAGGTGAGGATGGACGAGAGAGGCTGTGGTCAGAGGTCAATAGGAAGATGGTGGTGACCTGGTAGTGCTGGGAATGGTCAAAGAGTCAGATGAGACCTTCCAAAGCTGTCAGTTACCCTCAGCACACTCCCTCCTTCTGGAAGGACCTTTGCTTCACAGCTGTGTCCATCCTTAAAAAAAAAATGCCTGGAAGAACAATGCCACAATGATAAGAAGTTGTGGAGGGGAGAGGGGAATAGAACAGGAAGCCAGCACAAGAAACTGAGGAGAAACAGAAAAGTAGGAGGAAGACCAGGACAGCTGTTGTAGAAGGAAGAGAACAGTTTGAACACAGCAGATACCATGGAAAAGATAGGAGAGATACGGATGGAGTAAAGACCTACTGATTTGGAACTGACCTTGGAGAGAACAATTTAGCAGAGCAGTAGAGGTGGGAGCTTATTGTAATGGGAGCACTAGCAGGGTTGGGATAACCTGCATCAAGGAAACCAGTGGAACGAGGGGTGGTGCTGACAAGCCAGGCGGGATCCAGTCCAGGGCACAGTCGACTCTTACCCAACCCCTGAAGGATCAATCCAAGAACTTTCGGGAAGAGGGAAAGTAACTGCTCATTCCCTTTACAGTCAAAGCTTAAATGCCTTCCTTCCACAGCCAGGTGATCAAATATCTTTTCTTTATAAACCAGGCTAATTCTCTCTTGTTGAGGCACAGAGCTCAATTATCATGAGGGTGGAGTGGGGAGAAAGACGAAGATAAAGATGATACAAAACACACTCCTGGGGAATTCTTCCTCTTGATCTGTCCCTAATGCTCCCACAGAGCTGAAGTAACGTAATGTGACTTTCTAAATAGAGAAGCGAACTTTTTTTACACTACTGCTTTCTCCCCGGTGGGGTTCCCATTCCCTAGCTAGATGGAGTCCTCTCTCTCTGCTGGGCGCAGTACGTTTAAGTTTAAAAGGCCTAAAAGCTCAGATCTGTGGTACAACTGTGGGAGACCACTGTCAGTCCGTGTTCAGTTACATCAGCGAGTAATTAATACAAACGTTTTGAGGGTACAACATTTACAGAAGAGAACAGTGCCCTCTTCAGGAGAAAGAGACGTGGAATAGTGGGAAAGAAGGCTCAGGAGGTCCTGTTTGACCTTTCCCCTCCATGGTCCCACTTTGCCAAAGGCTAAAGTCAAATGTCACTACATGGGGCACCTACTCTGTTCCCTCACATCTCCACACTTGGCTAAAGCCAGAAATCATTCTGAAATTAGTGAAAAAAAAGCTATAAAGCAGCTACCAGTTGGTAGTGGAAAATCAGACATTTAAGCATTTGCTGTTTTGATAGGAGATGGAAAACAAGCCAAAATGAGGGCAAGAAGGAGGCAGTGGGAGAGATGAGGCAGAAGAAGGGAGGTGGCGGCCTTGGAGGGGCCAACACTGAGAGGGAAGAGACGAGAGGCTCCGGCCTCCTGCTTCCCCTCCACCGCCGACAGGAGGTGGCTCTGGCCAGCACTCATGCACCCAGGCAGTCCGCATGTGTGACTTCTAAAGAGGGGTCTATTACTTTTCAGCATGGCCCACTAGTTCTTAAGAGTCATTAATCTTGACATGACCATCCCAGGAGTTCTCAATTTTCAATAAAGTCTCTCCTCTGCATTTTTACTTTATCACTTTTCAATAAGGTGTCACTTTCTGTAGCAGTGTTTTCTACCACTCTCTGGCCTCGTTTATCTTGGCCATTTCTCCCACCATGGAGATTACAGTTTTTGGCTGCCTGATTAGAAAGAAACTTTGCTGTACCACTTCCTCTTTCCAGTCCGCATCTCCTTTTCCTCAGAGGTAAATAGATACAGTTCTGTGGAAAACACATCCACCCACAGTAGAATAGGACCTTGCCAAGGACTTTTGAATGTGAAGAGAAAAATGCACGTGGAGAGAAAATGTAAGCGGCAGAGGAGAGCTCAGGTGCAGCAAGATCGATCGCCTCCTGCCTGGACAGCCTTATCCCCTCCTTCCTATGACTCAGCAATTCAGCCTTCACCCAGCCGTTGCTCAGTGTATTAGAAATCTGCTAGATGTGTACATTCTCTTTGCTGCCAGATCATTAAATAATGCAAATCTAACCCATCTTATCACCCCTTAAACTGAAATCACTTTGGGTAGGAAAATCAACTTATGTCACAGAAGGTATGAGAAATACTGATAACAGCCCTTTGTATTCTAAGGGGGGAAGCTGCCTAAATCTAACCTGAGTAACTCCTCAGAATGTGGAATGAGAGCTGGACACACACACCACACAAAGAAAAACGTTTGGAAGCAATGACATTGTAATGTTAATAGCAATTATCTCTGAATGGTTGACTTCTTTGGATGATCTTTAGTTTCTTCTTTTCTGAATTGTTTATTGATATGCATGTATTCCTTTTTTTTTTTTTGAGGAAGATTAGCCCTGAGCTAACATTTGTGCCAATCTTCCTCCACTTTATATGTGGGTTGCTGCCACAGCATGGCTGACAAGTGGTGTAGGTCTGTGCCTGGGATCCAAACCCACAAACACGGGCTATTGAAGCAGAGGGTGCCAAACTTAACCACTATGTCACAGGGCTGGTCCCTGTATTCCTTTTTAATTGGAAAAAAGTTATTCTGTTAAAAAATCCGTTGGAAGCAGTAATTTCTTCCCTACAATGGGTTTTTGTCAAATTTTCTTTATGCTGACCCACTCAGTTTAGAACCTAATTTTAGAACCTAACTTGAATCTAAGCTATCTCAGAGACTGAACTTTATGGACAGATTGGCTGGACATCTCTGGAACTTCAGTTGCTAAATAGGATGGTAAATTGTTGATGTTTAAGCAGAAGAACCACTTACCTGAGATACTGAAGATGATCTCACATTTAACACTTGGGATTAAACTAGATAACCTATGGTCTCTTTCAAATCATTTACATAACAGTAAATTCAGATATAGCATGTTATCTGTAACAAGGTAATAAATCGTGACCATGTGTTTATTATTCCAAAGAGAACAATAAAATTATACCTTGGTATACAACAAGCAGCCGTTTTGATGTGAAAGTCACATGAAGCATGGGCAAGCCTTTCACAAGATGTCCCAAATTTGTCATTGAATTCAGAGGGAATTTGAACAATCCATTTTCTATCTAATTTATTCCATAAAAGAAGGTGTCTGAGTTCTATGCAGGAAATATCTTTTGATTTACTAATTTTTTAAAAAAGTAGTTTGTATACCCTCTTTCCACAGTTTGCCAATTACTATTCTAAACTTAAATCAGAAAAGAAAATGTTAAAAATGAAAGACATATAAAAAAAACAGCAGGCCTTCAAAGAAAAATTACTGAAAGGCATTTAGAAGAGAATCAAGAAATAATCAAAGAAATTTAGAGGCTTCCACAATGATTGATTACTCACCCAAACACCCAGCATTGTGTTCCCACACGTTTGCACTGTGTGTCAGTGAGGTAAGCATAGTATTGTCTGAAAGAACAAAAGCAGAATTCATTGAGAGCTTCTGGAAGACCAACAAGTCAATACAGAATTAAATCACTGTTACCGAGTGAATATAAAAAGTGTCCCGCCTTGTTCCACATATTCGAGCTGACCTGTCTAGTTCTCCTCAAGGGAACAGGAAGCCAGTGCCTGTTGAAACATTCCTAACAGAGGTTAAGAGTTCGGGCTGCACTGGAGGGAGGGGAGCACGGTTTAAAGAAGGAGATTATTGGCAAAAGTGGTTTTGATTCAGGGCCAGACTCCCAAAGCCTTGAGCCAAAGCAACCCCAGGTGGATGCTTCAGTTGCTCTGCATGGAAGTGATTTCTGAGGGTCACCTACACTGTCATTAACTGTCTCCTCTGGCACTCTCCAGGACAAAGGTTGCTGATTGTAACCAGGCAAGAAATAGACACATTTTTGGCTCTGAGAAATTGGAATGGGTCCCCGGCTGCAACTCACTGTCACTGAATGCCAGTGGCTTTGAATGCTACTGACAAGATCAGAAAAAAGAGGCAATGACATGGAGTTGAAAGGCTGAGAGCAGTATCATCCAATAGAAATACGAGCCGCAAATGCAATTTTAAACTTTCCAGTAGCACGTTAAAAAAGTAAAAAGGAACAGATGATATTCATTTTAATAATATGTTATTCAACCCAGTATATCGAAAACATTATAAAGAAGTATTTCATGTTGTCTTTGTACTAAGTCTTTTAAATCTGCTATGTATTTTACATGTACAGCACATGTCAATGTAGGCTAGCCACATTTTCAGGGCTCAATGGCCACACGTGGTGAGTGGCTGCCAGAAGACAGCGTACGCTCAGCCTCTCATAACTACCACTGAAACTCAACACATTCATTCAGAAGTAGCACGTGAACCAGGGGCTCATCATCTTTTTGGGGGGCGGTCACAGACTCCTCTGAGGATATGATGAAAGCTATGATAAAGGCATGTAAAAAGGCACACCTGGGGCCAGCCTCATGGCCAAGTGGTTAAGTTTGTGCGCTCTGCTTTGGCAGCCCAGGGTCTCACTGGTTTGAATCCTGGGTGTGGACATGGCACTGCTTGTCAAGCCATGCTGAGGCGGCATCCCACATGCCACAGCTAGAAGGACCCACAACTAAAAAATACACAACTGTGTACCGGGGGGCTTTGGGAGAAAAAGGAAAAAAATAAAATCTTAAAAAAAAAAAAGAATCATGTAGAAATCCATAGGGTTTGGCAAGAATTTTAAGGAGCTCTCAAAAAGTCAAAACACTGGATTGTGAGTCTCCAGTTTCTGTTTTGAAATGTTTAACAATATTGAAGTTTCATGATAAATCAGATGTGACTTACTATTGTTTTATAAGAAATTTCTTTCCTCACTTACTGACTTTGTTGATTACTCCTAATTTTATGGAGAAACTGCTGCTAATCTTTCTTGAAAATAATTGTGAGCCTCAAATTAAATCAAATTATATATAGGAGAGGGAGGCTCCAATCCACCAAGGAGAAACAGCATTTATGAGATAACCACTTCAATAGATACTGGTCTATAAAGTGGCAAAGGGCTATCCACTTACCAACTGATACTTTCCTGTTTGGTTTCTAATAAAAACAAGAGATGGAATTTTGGGCCTTAACCCCACAGGATTCAGCTATATCTTATTTGGTTTGTTCAGTTCAGGATCTGGGGAGATATATTTTTTCTTTTCTTTTTTTAATAATGAATGAGGACAAAGAAAAAAAGGTGCTGGCTGGAATGGAAGGTCTGTTTGACCAAGGAGAACACCCATTCTTAGCAAGTGAGGCCCGCTGCTTGTGTGGTTCACAAGCACATTAAAAATGATGAATTAAGTTATCCTATAGCTTCTGAAAAACTAACCCTTTTACTTGCTTAGTTTACATTTGTATCAACTGTGCAGAGATTTTTGGTGTTGCACTGATCAAGGCCAGTTCTCAGCATTAGCTACTAACCCAAACGCCATTTCTAAACAGGAACAAGGAAACAAATGAAAATGCTTTGCTGTGAGGTTCACTAGACTGTGAGAGACAGTCTCTGAGTAAGGCCTCACCTCCAGGGCCCTCCGTGAGTCCAGGGGAACAATGGCATGAATGTCCAAGCTCACCTCAGCTGTCTTGGAAGACTACAGGAAGGACTTTTTAAAAGGAAATTAACTTACTTGGCTTTAAAAGAGCTAATAAAATCTCATTCTAAAAATAACATCATTTATGACTTCAGATCTACCACAAAAACTTTTGTATTTTTTGATAATCTCATTTAAAAAAAACTCAGTATCACTGCTACTCATTTTTTTTTAATGGGATATTATAGGGAAAAAAAAAGAACAGCCCTGAAGACTGTAAAGGTGTTTGAAAATAATGGTATGGTGCTATTTACATGTCACTGAGGTCTGAGAGCAAAACATTTTCTTCATATTCTGGATATATAATTCTTTAGAATGATATTTTCATAGAAAACCTACTACTTTATGTCACTTCCCTTATGCTAAACAGGAAACTACAAAGCAGGTTAACATGCTCAAATAACAGTCAGACTTGTACAGAATTACCTCACTGTGGGAGCCGTGATGCCGCCAATAAAGAGAATTCGACACCAGCTTAATGGATGACTGGCTTGGAACACAAAGATATGTTTCAAGAAGAAGGTATTCAACTCAGTCAGCTGAAAAGGAAGGAGGCATTAATCAACCTGATGCTTCATGCTTAGTCACAATCAGACACTCCTTAAATTGACATGCTACAGCTAAAATAATTGGTGTGTTCAAAGCATTTGCAGAAAATATATGGGGTCTTCCAAGGGCTGTTATTTAAACTAGGCAACAGCTGGTACAATATGGGCACCAACCAATTGGGAGTTTAGGGGGAGGTGCTGGGGTGGTGGGAGGGGTACACGGGGGCATCAGCTATTTGTCATGTTTGCATGATTGACACTTGGGTCATGCATGTGATCTGCTCAGACAGTGGGGAGAAATAAGTTTTGAGAAGAGCAGAAATCATGAAAACAAATATGTGCCATGGAATAACTATGCACCCTTACAGAAATTAGGCCAAGTCTAAAAGAAGTCTGACTGTAGGAAAGTAAGCTCTACAGTAACCAAAAGAAGCTTGAGATATGTCACTGAGAGATGACTGTGGACTCATCTAGCACATGCCCAGGACCAAGCAGATCCCTAACCAAAGGCAGCTCTTAAAAGTGTGAGTGAAGTGTTAGTTAAGTTCCACCTACGGGCAGAGGTACTTTTCCCCGAGGTTAGCATCATCATATGACAAGTCCTTCGCGGCACTGAAGAGACCATGGCTGGGATGTGCTTGATGCCCAGAGCCTGGCTCTGGCATTTCCCCTCCAGGCTGAGCAAGGGGCAGAGACTAGAAGAGGTCCCTGTGCTTTGAGAACACATCAATATGGACTGGCGGGTTCATTTCAATGACATAAAATGTGTTATTTCCCCAAACTGCTGACTTTAAGGATACAAAATAAAAAATGGCCCACTAATTAACACCACATTTGGAAAGCTGATCACAGCACAATGCTCACACCCATGGGAAAGGTGTGCTCTGTGGAATGCTGCCATTCTAGGAGCACACTGCTCTCTCTCCTAGACACATCCAAATTCCTCCTCAGTTCCTGTAATGGAAGAAAACCTGTACCTTCCCTGACATTGCCCTGATAAAGTAAAACTTAATCCCAATCCATTTACACCCACATTTTTATACTTACTGACTTCCCCAAACCATGGTGACTAACTATTCACATACATTCCTATATCCATGAACTCTATTTACTGAGACGGGCATTATCATTCTCCATATGTGGACAAGGAGTATCTGTCTTAAAAGTGACACACGCTGATATTTTCCTTAAGTTGGGTGTATTTTGTGCCTGTGTGTTTAAAACATAATTTCTGATGATTTTGAAAGACCTTTCAGGCAAAATCTAGTCTCCCAAAATTGTGAAACAATTAACCTGGGGACAGGAGGGTTAATAAAAAAGGCTGTCTCTAGAAAACAGATGTTTGGTAATCCTTTTCCAAAACCCCTGGCTGTCTGAATTTCCTCAATCATGTAATGGTCTGCTCAGAGTGAGGGCATCTCTCCAATGCCATCACTTGGAGACCTAGGTCCCCCAAGGGCACCAGGGCCCAGAGGCAGCAGAGGGCCTCTTTACTTAGCTCTCTATAAATTACCCGAATTGGTCACAGCTAAGACGCAATTTTAAAACTCAAATATTGAATTTGCACTGTAAGAAGAAGCCTTGTACTTGTTCGTTTGGTCCTGAAAATGACCATTCCAAAAAGCAATCCAATGCTTAACTCACTGGGTGATGGATGCTACCACGAGCTTCTTTCAGGGAATTTTAATCTGATTCTAATTTGTAATTCAAAGATCCATATTTTAAAATATCTTCATGATGAAGCAAGACCTTAGGCATAATAACATCCCTTTGTTTAATTATTCTATATGTCAGCTGCAGAATATATGTTCTAAAGCATCTAGCTGGTAAGCAATGTCAACTAGCATTAACTCTACATTCCTGGATGGTTTTTGTTTTTCCTAGTTCTGGGCATCTGAAAAAATACCTGCCAGATGATCATGAAAAGGTATATTCCAGCCACTCTCTGAAATGAAGATTTGGGGTCAAACCATCGCACGTAGGTCCAGCTAGCAGGGGTGAACTGGAGCACGGCTCTTTTGATTTTCCCGGTGGTGGTGTGGATGTCCCTGGAAGAAGAGAACAGCTCCAGGGAAAATCCAAAGAGACAAGGAAGTGGAAGGAAAAAACCCCCAAAACAAGAAAAAACCTGTGCATTGACTATTTTACAACCAATGCTCAAAACAAAAAGATCCCTTTCTATTTGAACTGTCCCTCCAACAACGGTCTCTCTGTTCACAGGTGAAGTGTGGAGAGCAGCACACTGGACAGGGAATTTCAGCGATGACAGGTACAGTGCAGAGGTCAGGTCACTGCAGACCTGGTGACAAAAGAAGCTGGGAGGATTCAACATTCAAGACAACCACCTGGACGCAGGCCAGGATGCAGGAGAACTCGAGCAGGATATGATTCCCACCTCCTACTCATCTCCCACAGCGGGGCACGTTAGTAAAACAGAGAACATGCTCCATATTCTTGAGGTCACCCGCATCATTTCTTCATCCTATTTCTTCCTCAGATAAGTGAACAGCATGGGATGACCAACAGTGATTTTTAACCTTTCTTGGTTTGAATCCTAGAAATCACTCAATTAAAGATTTCATATTCCCATGGTAGAAACAAACAGTCCCGCGTACTACAAATGAGAATATTCAGGCTCAGCGAGAGCAAGCGGCTGACGCAGGCTCACCTCGTAAGCCTCTGAGCTGGGTGTATATTCTAGTCCTGTCATGCTGGTACAGAAGAGCCGAAATCCAAGGTGAATGCAATTTATTAACTGGTAAAGATTCCTTAATTCAGCAAAGATTTACATCAAGGACCTTTATACTAAGTGCTGAAGGCACAAGAAGGAACAAGTCAGGCCTTTTATTCTTGTTGGGGAGGGGCGGGGAGAGTGGAAGGAAATCAGGTTTTTTCCTTCGTTCACTCACCTATCCGTCAACAAGTGTGTACTGAGAAAATCTCACAGCAAGAAGATTCAAGGAACGAGGGCAAAAACAATAGAGACTATCCAAAAATAAACAAGAATGATGAAAGACCTGTATTAAAACAAGTCACAAACTGGGGCTGGCCCCGTGGCCGAGTGGTTAAGTTCGCGCGCTCCGCTGTAGGCGGCCCAGTGTTTCGTTAGTTCGAATCCTGGGCGCGGACATGGCACTGCTCATCAGACCACGCTGAGGCAGCGTCCCACATGCCACAAGTAGAAGAACCCACAACGAAGAATACACAGCTATGTACCGGGGGGGCTTTGGGGAGAAAAAGGAAAAAATAAAATCTTTAAAAAAAAAAAAAGTCACAAACTTCCCAAAAGGAGGTAGAGGAAGATGGGAATAAAAAGAGTGATACAGCATGATCAAGAAATGGAATAGTTAATATGGTAAAGAAGTTAATTCAACTTAATCTATATTCATTTATACATTTAATGTAACTTAAGAAAACATCAATGGGATTTTTGTTTATTAGTAAGACTTGTGTTTTGGTAACTTGACAAACTGATTCTCAAGTTGAATTCAAAGCATAAATGTATAAAAATAGGGAAACATTATGACAGTGTTTAAGGAGTCAGCCTGATGTAAATTCAGACTCAACTGCTTGTTAGCTGTTGTCTTTAGGCAAGTTACGAAACCTAAGTCTTGGTGTCGTCATCCCTAAAATGAAGAGAATAACAGTGTCCACCCCTAGGACTGATGTCAGGCTCAAATGAGATGCTGCATATAAAGCCTGCTTAGAACAATCCTAGCACAGCTACAGTCTTTGTTACATGGTACACTACCTGAAATATATTAAAAAGTATCTTTTCAAGTCAGTGGCCAAAAGATCACAAAAACAGGAATGGGAAGATTGGTTAATCAATTGCAAAAACATTGTGAAATCTCCTCCTTGCACCATAGACTAAATAAATTTGAGATAGATTAAATAAGTTACTTATAATAAAAAGACTAAAACATTAAAGAACTAGAAGAAAATACAGGTTAACATTTACCTAAACAAAAAGATTAAAAGCTTTAGAAGTTTAAATGAAAAAACTACCACAAACAAAAGTCAAAGAGGGATGACAAAATGGAAAATAAAGTCACATTTACGACAAAGCTTTAATATTCTTAATCTATAAAAAGCACTAATAAGGAAATAAGGAAAATAAGGAAATAAGGAAAAATCCAATAGAAATAGACTAGGAACTCAATATCACACAATTTCCTGTGTGATAAAATTGAAAAGGTTTAAAAGTAAAATTCAAAGAAACAGTGAAATGGACACATATATACATTAGAGTATATAGGTGAGTATATAAATTGGTGTACTCTATTTTTAAGAATTTATTTACAGAAAAAAATCAGAGATACACACAAAGATACATGCTCAAGAATGTTCATTCTAGCTTTCTCTATAAAATCAAATACTTTGAAACAGCTTAACGACCATAAAAGGGAACTGGTTAAATATTTTATGATTTATCCATATGTTGGGATATGAAAAAGCTCTCTAAAATCATGTTTTAGAAGAATATTTAATGATGTGGGAAATGCTCATATTTTGTTAAATAAATAAATGAAGTTTTAAAAACAACTACCACTTTTATTATCGCTACTGCTGTTCCTTGCCCCCTTATCAACAGCATGCTTGCTGTGACAACCAAATTGAGGAGCAAGTTCAGTGAAGTAGGATAAAGAATGATGGAGGTGTGCACAGTCCTCCATGGAGGCACAGTGCAACTTAAACTAGAGAGTCAGAGACAACTACCTGAAGAGGTAACAAGTGAGCCGTGTCAGGAAAGAAAAGGAGCCATCAGCCTGGTCCATGGGGACACAGGTGAAATTCAGGGAGACGATTCTGTGAGCAGGCTCAGAACCTTGGGTACCCTGGAGGGCATGGAAAAAGGTACCTCACCTGAGAAGCCTGTGGATGTTTACTTTGTCCTAAGGACCATGAGAAGCCATCACAGGGGAATGACAAGATGAATCTGATGGTCTCAAAAGGATCAGTCATGCACTGGTGTGAGAAGGCTTAGAGGGGTTAACCTGGGGACAGAGGACTAACTAATCCAGAGAAAGGAGTCTGGATGCAGGCTGAGGCACAAGGATACAAAGGAGAAGGGGAAAGACTTGAGAAAACAGTAAATGATTTAGCACTTTTTGGATGAATGCCTGATATTATGAATTTCAATTACTAACATCTAGTTTATTCCTTATCATCAAAGACTGTACTAAAGTCATATGCTACCAAAGCAGTTAAATATACATTGTGAAAAACTGTGCCTGACGACCAGAAAGACGACTCACTTGAAGCTTGCCCAGTGGTAAGTCCGCATCTCTAAAAATCGGCAAACGACCATGCCCAACCAGATGCCGCCACCATTGCACAAGAGGATGTCCAGAATGACTTGATCCCACCAGCACTCGGCAAAATTGGGCAGAAGATGCATGAAGAAAAGCTGAGAAACACAAGAGACGATGGTTGTAAAAAAAATTGGGGTACATGCAGAAAGATAAATTTCCTTTTAATAATACATTCTTTTAGGGAAAGTTGTTAACATTTCAGGTTGTCCTAACGTATTAAAAATACAAAACAAAACAAGGTCTGCAATCTGGTTCTCATTTTTTATATTGTGGATAGTTTCCAGATACTACTATTCCAAACAGCTCTTCATTTTTGGATGTAGGGCTTTAAAGAAATGATGGCCCCTCTTGAAAAATACTACCAATGAATTACCTTGGCTACTGATAACATGACCAGGATCCAGGAGGGGAAAAGGAGAAAAGTTTTCATACCTGCCAACACAGCACTGGCATAATCCTCAAAATTAGCTGCTTGAGAATTCAAGCTGTGCATTTTAGAAATATTCCATAGATATTTAGGTAAAATAGTAAGTAAAGTGCAAAATAGCGTAACAGGAAATCTCACACTAACTGAGTCACAATAATGATAATCTTATTAACTGCCTTCGATGTGCAAGGCAGTGAATGAAGTCAAGGTTCTGGATCTCAAGAGCAGGAGTCAGATGTTTATCCAGAACCACAAAATAAGGTAAGCTGTGGCAAGTGAAACAATGGACATAAATGGAGTACGGTGGTGACAAAAGAGATTCATTCTGACAAATGGCAATTAGAGCAGGCTTCTGGAAGGAAGACATATTGGAGTGGGGTCATAAAGGACAGGAATGACTGGTTTCAAGAGATGGAGAGGAAGATGAGGACATTCCAGAGAGGACAACAGGCCAAGGGTGGAACAGAATTCTCTTATGGAAATTGTTTTGTCCAAAACAAAGGGCATATCAGCTGTGTCCAGAGCAGCATCCCCTGCTGTGTGAAGGCTACTTTAAAAAGGTCTGAAGTTAATAGGGACAATGTCTGGAAGTTCTCTGGAAAGAGGCAACCCCATAATTAAAAACCTCTGAAGTAATATAATAAATACTACAAAATAAAACCATTCATGAAAGCATTTTGTAGACCATAAAACAATACAAACATGAGGAATTTGTCTTCTTAATGTGCCTGCTGCCAAGAAGATACAGACCAGTGACTTCACGTGATTGGCCTGTGGTACGCTCACACCCCAGGTGGGCCAGGCACTACCCCTGAAGTGCACTCCCAAGTTCCTAGCCATGAGATGGAGCTTTAACTCTTGTCCCTAGACAGGGAAGAGAGAAACTCCAGCAGGCACTCATTTGCTGAAAAAAAACTTTGTGGGGGAGTGGGATGTGGAGGACATACTTCAGCCTGAGGAGCTTTCCTGGAAAGTACCAGATTCTGGGGCTGAGAAGGGCCCGAGAGACCTGAGTTGGGGGAGTTAGAGGGAACCACATTCATTCATTCACTAGGGATTTGGGGAGCATCTGCCACGTGTGAAGCAGAGTACTACAGTCTGGGACTATGTAGACATGGGCCCTGCCCTCTCGAGGGGTAATGTTGAGCAGAAAAGAAACACTTGTCAAGTGTCTAAAAAGCGATGAGCATTTCAATGGAGAAGGGTGAGGAGCTCTATTTCCAGGTGTACAAACATGGAGTACAGCCAGTGGAGGGAACGGGGAAGAGATGGAAGAGCTTGGAGGCAGAGTCTGTAGGAAAAGAAGTAGAATCTTTGAAATGAAGAAAGCGAAGATGTTGGGAGCACAGAGAGCAAAGTGGAAAGGTCCCGAGGGGGCTGGGGAGGTGGGCTGGGGCCAGTAAACATCGGGTCTCGTAGGCTGGTTCAGAAGTTTGGATTTGGTTTCAAGAGCAATGGGCAAACACTAAAAAGTTTAAGGAGGAGAAGGACGTGATTGGGTTGAGGTCTGACAAGGATCACTTTTGCAAAAGATAGCGTGAAGGGTGGAGACAAGTAATTCAGACAAGAGATGACCATGGATTAGATACAAGTGGGAGCATGGTATGAAAAGAGCTGGACTGTAGAAATGTTTAGAAAAGAGAGTCCACAGGACCTGGGGATGAGGGGAGGCTGAGGAGCAGGGAGAGGAAGGTGCAGAAGGCCCAGTCTGCAGTGTGAGGGAAGAGGAAGAAGGCAGGCAGAGAAAGCTAAGTGGCTTGCACAGAGTCATAGAGGGGCTGGTTATGAAGATGCCTGGAAGTCACAGAGGTAGAACATGGTACAAGAGCAGGAAGATGGAATGCACATTTGGAGCCCAGCACATCTGGAATCCACTCCTGGCTCACCTAATGGTGCAAGGCTCTGAACTCTGGTTCCCTCATCAATACACTGAGAAAAGACACTGTCTTTTCCAGTTCATGGTGATGATTTAAGATGGTAAAAGTACAGTGTTGGGTACTGTTAGGGGTTGAATTATGTCTGCTCAAAATCCATATGCTGAAGTCCTAACCTCCTGTACCTCATAACGTGACCTCATTTGGAAATAGAATCATTGCAGATGTCTTTAGTTCAGATGAGGTTTTACTGGAGTAGGGTCAGCCCCTAATCCAGTAGGACTGGTGTCCTTACGAAAAGAATGCCACGTGAACAGACACAGGGAGAAGACCATGCGAAGATGAAAGCAGAAATTGGGATGACGCGTCTACAAGCCAAGGAATGCCAAAGATGAGCAGCAAACCATGAGAAGCTAAGGGAGGCCCACAGCAGAAGGCTCTCAGCAGGAACCAACTCCGTCAACGCCCTGAATGTAGACGCCAGCCTCCAGGGCTGTGAGAGGAACATTAAGAGAAGCTCCATCTAAGGGTCAGGATAATAATTGGAATGAAGAAATACAATGTACACATGGCCAAATTTTGTTCCCTGAGAATGATTAGCTAAGAATAAAATAATAATTGAATAATAAATGAATTAGTTCTCCCAATTTCATTTTGCTAGTAGTTTTTCAAGAATATTTCTCTTTCATTCGTTAAATGAAACACTAGAGCTGAGATATTAGAGCTATATTAGAAACCCATTTTCCAGCTACAAAATATCCTCGATGCCCTTGTAATTCCTAAACACCACAATCCTATTTGTCTCAAACTGGAAACTAGTTAGTAGGTAAACCGACCTATTTACTTCTAAGCAGATCTCTTCATTACCAGTTATTTGTCTCACTTGGGATTTTAACTTCATTCTTTAGCCTTATTTCATTTGTTTCTCTTTAAGATTTGTGACATAGAGGCACACTTTAAGTTAATAAGCAATTGTTTTTTCAATATTCACACCTTTGTAAATATTCCTAGGGGATGGTTTAAATAACAGTTCTGTACCGCAAGAGGCTGGAAAATGGAGTACTTGATTATTAATGGACAATCTTCTTCCCACATATAAACTATCCACACTGTAGATCTAGATCACTGCTTACACCCCCTTCTTACCTCAGTTAGCTCCCAAGTAATGCTGATTGTCCAGCAGAGGCCATAACTACGGATCAACAAAGCCTTCATGGCCCAGCCCCAGAAATGTCCAAATGCAAATATATCAAAATGACTGATAATCCTCTCCCAAGTGATAACATGGCAGTTCACAGCATACTCCTGTTTAAAATAAAAAGAGAAATAATTAGTGATACTCTAGAAATCAACTTGCTTCCAGGATTCTGACAATAAGTGAAAAGAACTCATACGACCTTGACAACTAACACATATCCTGCCCAATAAAAAAAAGTTTTAATAACTGAAGATTCCTGGGGAAAAATGAACAAGTATTAGAGTTTGTAAATCAGAATTGCTGTGCTCTGAATTGCAAAAGCTGGGTTAAAATGGGAAGCAAAATAATTTTACAAAGGCTTAAGACAACTGAAAGTGGTATCCCATAGCCTATGTCATCTGACCATATGGCAAGTGTGTTAAAGCCAATAACAAAAGCATAAACAGAATCCTAATAAATAAAGAATAAATAGAATCCCAATAGGTTTGGAAATTTAAAAACACACCTCTCTAAATAGAATGAAGTAAAGAAGAAATTTTAATAGAACTTTAAAATATATTCAGTACTAAATGATGATGAAAATATTATATATCACAACTGATGGGATGCAGTTAAGCAGAACTTAGAGGGAAATGTAAAGCCTTAAATGCTTACTTAGAAAAGAAGAAAAGCTGAAGCATCCAATTTCAGAAATTAGAAGAAGAAAACTGAAATATCTCCCATCCAAAAATGTATCAAATACTACATAATTTAAATATTAAAAAATTCCAAAGCTTTTAAGGATTTGGGTTCCACCTAATCTTTTGTTTTTAATGTGACATATTTTTACATAATTTAAAATAGACATCCTTATACTTCTGTATTTATTCTGAAAGTAGTTATCATATGACAATATAACATTTCTCAGGAATCTCTACATTTCATTCTTTCTTCCCCAAATTAATCTGAAAGGAAGAAGGAACATTTGGAAAATAGCCACCTATTATGAGCCAGCTGAAAGAATTAAATATAGTATTTTCAAATTCTAGACATGATACTTTCTGAGGGAGCATAAGAGCACCTGGTGCTCCTCCTTCTCCGTTGAAACCCACCACGTCAGACTGCCTCAGCCTTTCTCAGATCCAACCCATTTCAATTTGCAAAGCTGAAAGGACATTTTTAAAAACTGTATTTTTTCAGAAACATTGTGATGCGAGATTATGATATATAAATGGGAAATAGAGAAAAGAGGAAAAAATTCAATAGAGATAAGACAAGATAAGGCATAAAAAAAAAATTCAATAAGATGAAGGTTCTCTTTCCAGGCTCTGAAACAGCATGTGCCTGTCTCAGGGAATCACAGGGCGAGAGAGAGAAGTAGCCTTGGGCTGAGACAGTTATGTATGACGTTAAGGGGAGCTGCAAGGTCCCGGCAACCCCATATTTCTCAATCATTCCATTCTGTTGTTTACTCTGGAACACACTGCTTAGGGTTAGCTAAGAAGGGGGTGAATTCTGTCTTTAGAAGGCTTCTCTTAACCTTCTTTCAACCTATGATTAAAATAATCATAGGTTGAAAACAACCCGGGAGGCCATTCCACTCTCTGTGAGAATATTTCTGTGCTTTAACATATGGAAAGGCACTTTGAAAGTCATAAAGAGCCAAATGTCCCCCTGGGGGGCACACAGGACACTGCAGTTTAATGCAGCTGGGGAGCCGCACACACAAGCACAACCCTGGGAAGCAGAAGAGGCATTAAATGAGGACATTCTGGAGCCAGAAAATGGAAAGGGGCCAAGTGAGGAGAGTATGTGTGCGTGAGTAAAGCGGTAGGTCAGGACAAATTCTGCCTACCTCCTAACCTGTCAGAGGGCTCATCTTGGTGGCTCCACCCTCTTCCTTGCTTGCCCAACACTTAACAAAATACCAAGTTCTATTCATTTTACCTCTCCAAGTGTTTCTTTTCTCCATCTCACTGCCATTATTATTTCTTGCTTAGACATCTGCAATATAGCTTTTTAAAATTATGAAATGTTTCAGGTAAACAAAAAAGTACAGACGATGCTCTAATAAGCACCTGACTACTAGCTTAAGACTGCAAAGATTTTTAACTGGTCTCTCTGTAGTCACTTTTGTTTCCTGTAATTGATCCTCTACAAACAAAATGCTTTTGCAGATCATTTTAGGGCTGCATGTGTTGAGGGGGCAGGTGCTTGGGTAAGGCATCCTCCCCAGTGTGGAAGGATATTTACCGCCACAGGCTTTAGGCCTTCCCCCCACCCTCTCCCTCACTCCTACCTGGGGGAGCTGGTGATCTTGCAAGAAGAAAGAACATACATACTCCAACCTCTTTGGGGTCCTCTCTTTGGAAATTATTTACCTATGAACAGCATAGGTTCTTGTCTGTTCCCTCAACCTTGCAGAAATTTTTGTGGGGTCAGGCCTGCCTTGTGACCTTGTGAGAAGAAGCTTTTGATTATCCAACGGGACAGCGGATCACACGCCTGATTAATTGCAGGGGGAGCATGGTATCAGCAAGGCCACATGGCCCAGGTCTAAAGCCATCTGCTCCACTGAGTTTTTACCAGGAGGAAATCACTGATATTCTTCACTCTTTTTTTTCTGTTTCCAAACTCGACTAGAGATGGGGATATTATTCATTGACCCACTAAAACACCAAAAGAGATCATGCAACTCCTCTGCTTAGAAAACTTCCATGGCCTTTGATTACATTTAGAATAACATCCAAAGTCCTCACCCCAGTCTCCCCAGCCTCAGGAACTGTCCTCCTCTGCCTCTTCATTTCTGCTCTCCTGGAGCTCTTCCCTGATCCAGCTCCCCTGAGTCAGAGCCTCCGCACAGGCTGGTCGGCCCTTCTTCCTGAGAAATGGCCTTGACCTCCTACTCCCACGTTGCTTGGCTAACTCCCATTCATCTTTTAGTTGTCAGCTTAAACATTAGCTCTTCACAGAAGCCCTGCCTGACTTCCTGGGCTAGATTGGGTCCCTTTTATAAGTTCTAATAGCACCCATTTCTTTTTCTTTATTACACTGCACACTGAAATCATTATGCTCTGTGATTCTACGATACGTCTTTTTCACACTGCAGTATTTCGAGAATTGGGATGCATATTTCAATATATTACAATGTTTGGTGCATTTATAATATAAAGTTTCCTTTTTCCCCTCCCAAAAGCCAAACCTATAATTGATGGTGTGTCTCAAAATTGATGCTGACTTCCTGACCCTATGATCAAACTTAGTGGTATAAAAAGGGACAACCAGACACTACACTCCTCCTAGTGTGACACATAGCACTTCCCATGAAGCAGTCCTGCTATGGAAACTGAACTGGATCTGGAATCCAATCCAGCCTCTACATCTAACTCTCAGTTTACAGGAAATACAGGGGCACAGAGAGATATGTTAAATGACACCCTGCAAATGCAAGCTGCAAAATCCAGACATGAAAAACTCTATAGAATAAACAATATGGTTTCTTTGACAAATAAACTTCTAGGTAAAAAAAGGTAGAGAGGGACTACAAATTAAGAGATATTTAAGAGCTACAGAAAACGCAATGTGTGGACCTTATCAGGATCCTATTTTGAACAAATCAACCATAAAATACCTTTATGAGGCAAGTGGGGAAATGTGAATACTGATTGCATACTGTTCACTGTTGAGCAACTGATAATGACATTGCAGTTATGTAAAAAAAAAGTCCATATATTTTAGATATAATGTCTGAGAACTGTTTCAAAATAATCCAAGACATGGGGGATAAAAATGAAACAAGATTCAGCATGTGCCAATAACATTTAAAAAATTGCTTACGTTGCCATTAGTACAAGAAAAAGAGCCAACAATTATTTGTTTCATTTGTCTTCTTGTAGACTCTACACTCTAAGGGGACAGGGAGCATGCCTACCTTTTTCCCCTCTACCACCAGCATGGCGTCTAGCATTTGAGAAAAGCTTAGCAAGCATTTACCACACAGAAGACCACTGCATCAGACAACCCAATTTACAAATCGGTTGTGCTCTGAAAGCTTGTCTGAAGCTTAGAACATACACTTCTGAATAGAATCAATACTTAGGATCAATACTTAGAAAAGTGGCAAACTTTCCAGACAGTTACACAAAAAACTGCCACTAATAAGACTTCAATGACCCCCAATATCAATTTATAATATTAATTCTAAGGGAAAAGGCAGTCTGAATTTCAGTGCACGACACCGGGCATGGGCTAGAACCTATGAAGACCAGGAGCAGGTGGCAGCACAGGAGGAATGGGGAGTGCAGATGACCCTGGGAACCAGTGAACTACAGACTTCCATGAAGGTACTTCTCCTTACCACAAACTCTATCAAAAGGAAGGAATCTCTGTAGAGCCATCAATGAACAGGTCTAGAATGGTGAGAGATTACTTTAAGGAAGTCCAAAGTGATGGGGGATAGAGATGGAGAAGACTGAGGCTGTGCTAGTACCAGCTGGAACTCTAGAAGCTGAAAAAGCCCTAGGCTGTGCTTTGCATGGCAAGAAACAACTAGCCATTACTTGAAAACTAGATTTTAAAAGCCAGTTGCAGCTCTTTGGGGGCCGTAACTGTGACATTTGGATGTCCTCATGATGTCAAATTCCTAACGAAGCTAGATGTCAAAAGCATTGTTAGATTCAACCCCCTCCCTCTGGCTGTGAGAAGAGGATCGAGACACACCAGCAAAGCCGCCTGCAAGTCAGTTTACTTCATAATATGACCAATCTTGCTTAAAAACTCCCCAAACTTGTGGGGGAAAATATCCTATCTGGGATATCTTTCTCCCAATCTCTTTCTCATAAGGCTCCTGTGAGTATCAAAGCACGTATTGTTATTATAACTCTATACCTGAGGCATAGTCCAAAGGAAAAGCAGAGGTTTTGGAGTCAGAGGGACCTTACCAGCTTGTGTTTTGAGTGACACACCTATGCATTTTAGGCTTCTCTTTCTCCTTTGGTAAAAATGGGGATATTAACACCTAGCACGCACGTGTGAGGCGTACACAGACTATACACAAAGCGTCCAGCACAGTGCCTGGCAGACAGACAACCCACAGTCACTAACTGCCAGCATCCTCCCCACAACCATCATCATTATTGTCATCATTAGAAGGTGTAAGTCACCTCATACCATTCTCTTTCTTGGAGCAGGAAATCCCAAAACTCACTTTTCTCCCTGAGACTTTTAAATAATTTTTGGTATTCCTATTTTTCCCTTTAGTGTGTTCTGTATAAAAGTTACAGAAAAAATCTGGAAACACCATTCCCAGCAGGTTGGACCAATCTCCACTAGGGTAGAATGACCACTTCTCGGGCCTTTGATTCAGTCCCTTTATGTTGTTTCTTGTTGGCTAAGCAAGGGCCTATGCATCGTCCAGACGCCTGTTCTCCTTTTCTGAGAATCACTAGGTCTTTCTTCAATCAAACGTTGTACCAAACGTTAGACATTTAAAAAAGAAAAGAGAAAGGAACAGCATTACAGTATAAAATAGTCTCTTCACTAAAAGAAAGCACAGGGTAGTTTTAGCCAAGAATAAAATTATTTTTTGTGGTTTAATAAAAATAATGAAAGAAATGGCCTAATCACTACAATTGGCCCCTTCATGGCAAGCAGGCGGGAAGGATCATGGTGTCAGGACTGGAGTTGGGGAGCAGAGGTGCTGAAGGTGACACTGACAAGCAGGAACAGCTGCCATCACTGAGGACTTGGTGTGTGCCTCGTAAATAACGTCATTGTGTTTAGTTCACAATAAACTCCCCAAAATAAGCATTATTATTTTACTTTACAAAGCAGGGAACAGGCTAACAAGTATGTTGCCCATGGTCCCACAGCTAACAAGTGACAGAGGCAGAATTTATGCCCAAGGCTGTCTGATAACAATGTTCATATTCTTCCTATCATCCCCTTTGCTCCAAGAGAGAATTTTACTTCCCTGGACAGTATCATTCATGGAAGACATATACCTCACCAACCTGCCCAGAGACCTGGCTTTTAGATATCTACATGGGAAATACAGAGAAGGGACAATTTAGAATGTGAAGTCAACTGCCTGCTACACCTAAAAGTCCACAAATTTCTCCAAAACGCCACTGGCAAGTACGTACCATGACATCTGCTTCCCTTGTGGCATATCGCAGATTTGGATCTAGCCAGTACATTAAGGACTTAACCTGCTCGAAGTTCAGGAAGAGGAGGAATACCAGGAACAGGAAGTACAGCACACTGAGTCCTGAGGGAGAGAAAAGTATTCTCACGTTTAGGAGAGATCTGGGTGTCAGACGCACAGCACACATTCGACTCAATTGCTCATGGCCCAAAGCAGACACTGATATTGTAACACAGCCTGTCGAGGCCCCATTGCAATCTGGTGTTTCCCTTGATGGGGGCATCTGATGCACAGTCCTAACTCAGATTGAGAGAGGTCAGTAATACTCTCTGATAAAATAATGCTTAAGCTGAGCGCTGAAGGACTGGCAGACAAAGGGTGGGTGGGTAGGAGTGGAGGGGTGGATGCAACACTCAGGCACAGAAAAGGCGTACAGGTAGGTCCCTGGAAAGAGAAATGTATTGGACCTGGCATGTGGCTGGGGTGCCGGTAGAAAGGGGAAGGGAGAGAGGTGGCATTGAAGTGACAGTCAGGGCTTGGGAGCCATGGTAAAGATTTCAGATTTTATCTTAAGTGAAATGAAGAGCATTTGACGAGTTTTAAAAGGAGAAATGAGGTGATCTAGGTAACATTTCAGGAAGCTGACTCTGACCACTGTATGGAGAGTGGAAGGAGGCGGGCAAGGCCAGGGGTGGACAGCCAGTCTGGGGCAATTTCAGCAGCGACAGGTATGAGGTGCGAGAGGTGACCCAGGGCCACTTACCCGTGTCTTCCTCCCAAGTTAGCCCTTGCAGGCATTACGTTTTGTCACATCATATCATAATTGGTATCCTAATAATCACCTCATGTCATTTAAAAAAGAAAGTTAATAATCTACTTTAAGAAGGCAAAAGCATGTAAATACATTTTAGAAAGATTTGATAGTGGTTTAGAACTAACCACCAGTGGCTTTGTGACTTCTCTTTCTACGGAACCTGCTAGAATTAAAATGTTTATGTAGGTCATCTAGACACTGTGATACAAACGACCTTGGACCACAGCACCCCATCAAAACTTGGCTCAGCACTAATCTCGCACAAGCCGCTCCAGTGAGAACATCCACGGCTGGAATGAAGTCCCCAGAGCGTCCACAGCACAGGCCTTCCAGCAGGCCGCTCCCGCTCCTCAGGGAGCCCCGGGGGAGCAGGATGGTAGCATGGCCAACGTGGCCAAGCAGCCCAGGGTCCGGGGAGCACTCGGTTTTAGGCACATAGGTATGAGAACCTCCTCAAGTTTGCACTTATGCAGCTATTTTCACAAATTTTCACTTCAAATTCCCCCACTACACCTTTTCGTTATAATTTTTTCAAAAGAATTAAGACAGAAAAAAAGTGTCTGTGGAGCAGGCGTTCTTAAACTGGAGTTCGTAGTTGGGCTTCATGGTCTGTGAAGCCACAGATATAATATGGAGAACTGTGCGTGTACAAGCATGCATACATGTGAGTTGCATGTGTACCGGGAAAGGGTCTATAGTTCTCATCAGATTATCAAAGGGCTCCAGGATCCCAAAAAGATCTCAGGAAGGAAACAAGACTGCTCATTACCTGTAACGGACCATTTGAAATAGGAAAAACTCAGATGTAGCCAACTAGCTGAAAATAACACAACTTCAAGCAGCAGAATTGAGTCCATGTGATGTAAGTATGATGCAACCGGGATTATCTTTTTAAATGTGTAAAGGAATCATGCCACTTCTCTGCAAAAAAATCCTCCTGTGACTTCCCACTGCCCTTCACTCCATGTTTCTTACTGGCCCACAAGCCCTGCAGGGTTCTGTCTGTGTCCAACTCTGACCTCTCTTGTTACTCCCCAGGGCCTGCCACACTGCAGCCACACTGGCCTGGAACACACCAAGCTTCTTCTGGCTGGGGACCATGTAGCCTTTCCTTTGCCTGGCCTCCCTCCCCCACCTTTGCTGCACTAGCTAAGAGCAATAGCAAGACGCATAAAGAAAAACAAGCCACATTCCCTTATGTCAAATCCTGTGTACATGAAGGGACAACAGCTTAAGAAGGAGGTAAGTGGAGTTGAAACAGTTCACAAGTATGAGAATTTAAGTTATCACCAGTACTTTTTTGGTGGCAAAGAATTTTAACAAAAAATTTATATTAGGAATACCAAAAAGTAAAAAGCTATAAAGTTTTACTGTAGAGTGACAAGTAAAACTGCTATAATGATATACAGAAAAGGATGTTTTAAAGTAGAACATATTTTTAAATCTACTAACGGTTAACTCACCAAAAACCATTCGCCATAAGGCTGGATGAGGTCGAGTAAACGGACCTGCAGATAGATAACATTATAAGGTTAGAATACTGGTTTCAAACAAGACTAAAACTAAAGAAAGTACTGCGGATCTCCATAAAGACAAACAATAAAAAAAACAAAACACCTCTCACCTGTTAAATTTTTTTCCTACATAAATCCTTTGTGGTCAAAGTCTAGGTTGAAATGTTTTATCCACATTGTAACAACGATCACCACAATTGTAACAGCACCAATCTCTACAACAGAGGTTTTGTTTTTTTTTTTTAAAGTTTTGTCTTTAGAATTCAGACCATAATTTCCCATGGAAACAATGTTACCACAGTGAGTACATTACCAGGCCAGCCTTAAAGTGTATGTAATACATATTGACAAGTGAAGTCTCCCAGCTATCTGGGAGCTCCAGAGAGAGCAAGAGAGAGCGAGAGCAAGAGAGAGACTGACTCTGACAGCGAAAGAGAAGAGCAAAATACCGTGCTTTGAAAACAAGTGAGGTAGGGAGTGAGACTGAAAACAAACCCTTGGAGCACTGGAACCGGCTAGTGCAGTGGCTTCTGATCATGAACTATGGTAACAAAATACCTTTTACACAGCAACCCAGTTCAGATACACAGATGCAGATTCCAGGCAGTAAAAACTAAAGTTTCACAGGATGAAACTTACTACAAATGATACACCAATAATTTCCATTTTGTTAAAAAAAAAAAAGAGTAGGGGCTGGCCCAGTGGTGTAGTAGTTAAGTTTGTGCACTCAGCTTCAGTAGCCCGGGGTTTGTGGGTTCAGATCCTGGGTGTGGACATAAACACCTCTCATCAAGTCATGCTGTGGCAGCATCCTACATACAAAATCGAGGAAGACCAGCACAGATGTTAGCTCAGGGTCAATCTTCCTGGCCAGAAAAAAAAAGAAGAAGAAGAAGAAGAAGAAGAAAGCAAACAAGCTAGGCCTTGATCCACTAAAGTGAATTACCACCAACTGAAGAGTGGCAACATGCAAATATTGAACACTGCTCTAGTGGGCACCAGACCTACATGGGCACTGCCCTCCTTTGGAACAGCCTTCCTAAACTTGGAGAATTTCCAGCATTATGAATCCCATTATCTCCAGGGAAGATGCCAGAGCTTGCTGCTCAGTCTTCCTTACAGCTAGGGCTCGGTCCTTCAACAGCACCCATGCCAGACTTGACCTTAGGAGCTGGCAACAGCAGAGGTAAGTATGCAGAGCTCTCCACTCTCAATCTCTCTGGCTAGCAGGGACAGGAGTGAGGAAGTGCCATTCCTCAGACCAGTGAAGACGGCACTGGTGATCATGGCAGCAGTAGTTACATGAGAGTTTGCTGCATGTGACAGTGGGACAGACTATAGCCAATGTTCACTGGGATTTTCTCATTAGACAGTTCTAGGTGACATGCCACATCCTAGAAGCTTAGCTTGGGCCTGGTTTCCTAGGCCTCCCACAATTCCTCAAGTCAGTCAATATCCTGTAACAGGTTTTTTAATCAGCAGAGTTAGCTTCTATTGCTTGTAACCGGTAATCCTGTCTGAAATGAATATTGCACTATAATTTTTATTCTGGAACTCATTCTAAAATCCATCTCTTCTTAAAAAGATTATATTAAAACATATTTTAACTGCTTTTTTTTGATGGATCAAGTTCATATTAGGAAGATCAGTTACAAGTATCCTCCATCATCCAAAACTATCCAGTTTCTGAGTTTAGATGGTGAGAGTTCAGAAAGTAAATTAGTTTCATGAAAGACTCTGTTTTATCCAAATTAATTTTGTGTCTGAGTTTTGGAGGGCAAGTAACGAGAACTCAGAGCACGTGGGATTGATCTAAAGTTATACAAAGCTGTTCGATTTCTGAGTTCCAATAGTGATGGCTCAGACAGTGAGGAGAATCTGCGTTCTTTTTAATCAGCTGTTTCTTTCTCAGAAAAGCACAGTGAAACACAAACAAGAATCCCCTTCCAGATGACAATGCAGTTAACTTTCTTCCAAAGTCGTTGGCTAGCTTTTGAAGCTAAATGTCATCTTTTAAAATTGTCATCTTTTAAGTAACTTTGCTCTTCTAAATGCTCTTCTTCACTGATTTTTGGTTCATCTCTTAACTTGTCACCATGAGTGAATGTCCTCTGTATTACAATGGCTGTATGACTTGCAAATATTACTTCATCCATACTATCAAATTAATCTTCCAGACATAACTGGGAACCCAAGCTTTCTCTACGGTTTCCTCTTATAAGGTCCAACTCTAAAATTTTATGACCTATTATATGGCTGGCAACAGAATTCCATGCCCAATCAACACTTAAAATCATATAAATAACGTTATTCTCAAGAACAATCATAATTATAACTTATAATAGTCAGCAGTACTTTCCAGAGCACTTACTGTCTACCACGCTGGGGGAGGAGACACCCCACACGTTATCGCTCAGCTCTGACGGCTGAGTGATGTGGGCACTACCATCATTCCCAATTTACAGATAAGGACAGGGAGGCCTAAGGAACCTGCCTAGCGTCCCACAGCTCACAGACTCCACCTCCAGTCTGAGAAAACACATGTACTTGCCTGTCAACTCTGTCAGGCTTGGGCCAGCTCTGGAGGAGAGAGTGGTGGGGGAGTTGAGGGCTTGAGCCAGGACTGCCTCAGGGCAGGGGAGAGAAGTGAGCTGGCGAGTGGTGTTTCCAGTTGGTGCAATATGGACTTGATAAGCAAGGTCAGGCAAAGCAAAAGGGCAGGGTACTGATGCAACCCATACAATGGCCTCTGGAGTTGTCTTCAACCTCTGAATTCTTCAACAGAAGCCCTCTGAAAACAGAACTCCCCCTCTTCTTATCTAACCCTAAGCAGTGTATTCCACAGTAAACAACAGGATAGAGTGACTGAGAAATATGGGGTTGCTGGGCCTTCCAGCTCCCCTAACCTAATACATAACCTAATATATAACTGCCTCAGCCCAAGGCTATTTCTCTCTCTCGCCCTGTGATTCCCTGAGACAGGCACATGCTGTTCCAGAGCCTGGAAAGAGAACCTTCATCTTATTGCAATGCTGTTTGTTTTCTTAAAGCCTTAGCTTGGCTTATCCCTAATGAATATTTCTCTTTTCTCCAGATTTCCCTTACACATTATAATATCACATCACAATGTTTCTGAAAAAATACAAATTTTTTTTTTTTTGCTGAGCAAGATTTCACCCTGAACTCACATCTGTGCCAATCTGCCTCTATTTTGTACGTGGGTTGCAGCCACAGCATGGCTGCTGATGAGTGGTATAGGTCCAGGCTTGGGATCTGAACCCAGGCCGCCAAAGTGGAAGGCACTGAACTTAACCACTAGGCCATGGGGCCAGCCCCCTAAAAATATAATTTTTAAAAATATCCTTTCAGCTTTGCAAATAGAAACGCATCAAATCTGAGAAAGGCTTATTAGAAAATCTGATGTGGTGGGTTTCAGAAGAGAAAGAGGAGTACCGAGGTACTCTGCCCTGAACCCAGTAGGTGGGAACCACTGGTGTCTTTGGCTTATAAACGGTGAGTTAATGCCCTGGAATGGAAGGTAACTCTTTCAGTAGCTAACTTCAAAACCCAATCCAGGCTTTCTTTCAGCCATGAAATCTGCCAACTTCCTTCTGAGTAGAAACTCTGAATGTTTTAATGTAGTATTTTAAGAAGTGCAATCTAGTAGCATTACTCACTAAGAGTACCATCTTTACCTTCAAAGACAGAAATATTGCTAAAAGTATTATTATACTCCTTAAAAAATTGAGGATGATGCTGGCGTTTTTCCATAGTCGTGTCAACGGAGATACATTCTGAGAGACGTATCATTAGGTGATTTCGTGGCTGTGTGAACATCACAGAGTGTACTTACACAAACCTAGATGGCATAGCCTACTACACACCTAAGCTATATGGTACTAATCTCACGGGATCACCATCATATATGTGGTCCGTCATTGACGGAAACATCATTCTGTGGCGCATCACTATACTATAAACCTTGATATTCATGCTCACTAGATTACCCATACCTGGCTATTCCAATCAAGTTACCTTTTTGGAAGCCATGCTTTGCACAGCTGTCACGTGCCCAGACATGTTTGTCTGTCATCCACCTAGACATGTCAGTCCTCCCATGAACACTGACTTTATCTCAACACCTTCCTCACAGATCTTACTTCCCAACAAACCATTTTCCCAGAGTTCTTGTAAAGGGAGGATTCCTCCTTTTTCTGACTACTGCCATGGTCAGGAGATTACTAGGAGTGCCCCATCTCGTGGTGTGTTTCTTACGTATACTTTATTTCTTATCCGATGGCAGCTGCCTGGAAGGGTCTGGCTCTCCAGTTCAGCTCCTCTTCTCTGTGATCATGCAGGAGGAACGGGGATGGCTTTGTGGAGTGCTGATGGAGAAACAGTGCTGCTTTGTTTTGCATTGTAGTTTTCTTACAAGGCACATTCAAAAACTACATGTTTTATCTTCCTTATCTATCCCTACATCTGGAATACATCATTTTCAATCAGCTATTAAGAGCAGGTTTAATTTCAAGAAATAGAAACCAAACATCTTCATCATGAGAAGAGCTAGCATTTAAAAAATTACCTCAGAAATTAGAAAGTAAGATTATTGCTTGACTTGCCAGCAACTGTTATACCTAAGAAAAACTGAGTCTAAGGGACCAAACCTTAGGGAGGCATAATTCTTTTAACAAAAACTAGAAGCTATATTTGTGTCCGCAGGCCCTTAGTCTGCTTCTTTGCTTGATTATTTTTTTTTCAGCTTCCCATTGAGGTATAAATTGACAAAACTCTAAGGAATGTGATTACTATTCTTTACTTTTTTGTTTGGTTTTCTTTTTTTTGAGGAAGATTAGCCCTGAGCTAACATCCATTACCAATCCTCCTCTTTTTGTGGAGGAAGACTAGCCCTGAGCTAATGTCCGTGCCCATCTTCCTCTACGGTCCGCATCCAGGATCCAAATCAGCGAACCCCAGGCCGCCACAGTGGAACA